AAAGAATAATCCAATTATCAAGTGCACACCTTTGGCAGGGTACGAAATCCAAACTAAGACCCATTAATCCCTGATTTAATCTATTATAATGGACTTGATTTATTGACTTTTATTTTGCGTTATTATAAACTGCTAGGCAAAGTCAGCTACCTGTTGGGTTTATCCATTTTGAGATTATTCTCCGATGATTTTATTTCGTCAAAATAATCGATCTATTGACCGGTTACACATAAGTCTGTATAATAATATTCAGGAAAAAACGATGAAAGACAGTGGATTTAAAAATTCCTTATATCAACTGAGTAAAGAGAGTATGGTGGAGAAAAATGTCACTAAGATTAATAATTTCAGAATACAAAGGAAATCATCATCAACTGAATCTATTTGAAATAATCCGTACACAAATTGTGCACCATTTCAACTGTTCACATTTATACCAATGTTATTTTATTCAGTAGGTTTGAAGTGCGAAACTTTAGGTTCCTGTCATCGTGCTACAACCTATTTTCCATAGTACCTTTCATTAATAATCCAAACCATTACAAATTGTATTATCATTAATAATAACAGCGACATTTTAGCGTAATATTATTTCAAAAAATATAGTCACTCCACATAGAAACCAATTAAGGAATATAGATCCTATCTAGATGACATTAATGTTCCGTTATTAAAACAAAAAGTGAATGGAAAATGTTTATATATATATGATTAAAACAATATTTTCACTGGCATGTCTACTATTAAAAGATTTTAATATTGAAATGTGGTCATATTCAAGAAAGGATTATCTGAGGTAAAAGATTCATTTTTGTTTGAAACTTCATTTGTTACATTGCTAATGATACCTGATTGAAGTTAGGCTTCGTTCATACCAGGTTCAAAACTAATGCAGTGGAAATAACCTAACAGAAAGAAACAGGTGAATTATTTCGTTCTTATTCTCTGTAATGTTTCAAACAACACCAATGCTTTAGAAAAAAATATTATTAAACCTAATTCTTATTAATCTCACCGATTGTTTGCTTTCAATATTGAGAAAAAACAGTAAAAGTCAATGGGTCAAGGTTTTCATGCATGTCAATTTAACGAAATGATATATAAGTAACTACAGTCGAAAGTCAGATATTATATATATATGTATGTATTTATTATTGTTTCAAGTTGATGATAATGACCTTGACATTTCACAAGTTACATAAAGATTGGTAATCGGAACTAGTTATTATTTTTATTATTTTTTGATTGAGATCATGAACCGATTGATGTTAGACCACCATTGAAAACCTGGAAGCACTGGACGGCCGTTTCGGTTCATGATCTCAATCAAAAACTTAACAATCTCCACAACCCCTAAACTGATTTTTATTATTGTTGGCCTTATGGTATCTGAGATTACGTGATGGGTTGCTGAAATGCTTTCAATAAAAAAATGCGGCATATACATTATACATCGTATTAATTATTTACTGTATGATATACTAAAAGAGAAATAAAATAAATCTTATTAAGACATAATATGCCAAGTGAGTTTTAGTTCATTCCAATACGACAGTCAATAATAAGTCCGATAGAGAGCAAAATAAGAAATGATGTTAGTGAAAGCAAGAAAAAGCAACCGTATTATTATTTCAAATGACAAGTATGAAAGCATATTTTTGATAATAAACTTTTAGTTGTAGTAGTCTATTAAGATTATATCAGGTTGGTAAGACTTTTTTTGACTATCTTATCAAGCTCATTAGTTATGTCTGTACAGTCAACTCATCTGCAAATTGTATTGTTGGTAAATCATAAAATGAGTAAATAGTCACGAATTATTCTTCATAATCACAATAATTGATTGATATTCACTATTATAACATGAAGATTGGTGAGGCAACGTAGGCTTGTTAGAATTAAATCCAGTCATGTGCTATAATTAAGAGTAGGGGAATGAACAACCTCTCTCACTACCTAACTGTATGTGTATATAAGTATAGGATCTCAAGCAACAGAAAATACTAAAGTACTCAAGTGACCAAAATAAAACAAGAATAAACAGTTGGTAGCTATGTGAACTTTTACACCTGGGTCGAAAGTTGATGTCGATTAGCAATGAATAAATCTAAAACAATCTACCAGAAATATAATTTTGGACTTTTTCACTGAGCTAGAAATATGAAGGAAGAAGTAGATTAATCCATCCATCATACAGTCCTCTCGAATGCTTAGAAAACTTATTTTTCATTTGTTCAAACTGTTCATTCTAAATAAAGGTTTTCCTCTTAGATTTGTTTTGACTGAATGGTTATGTATGAATTGTATGTGGTTGCATATCATAATAGAGTGGTTAGTTGGATGCTAAATAAGAAAACACAGCAGTTTCGGCAATTAATTTCTCTTGGTTGATTCATTGAAGGAATAAAAGGTAAATACGGTGTATTTAATGCGCTCAAGTATGATGTATTTCAAAACCAGTCTCAGTAGCCGAAGTTATACTGAATATTGAAGGGTGTTTATAAAGTAATTTCGAGTAGTCAAAACCTTGATTTATGTGAAAAAAGGCTAGTTGCTGATGTATTACATAAATGGTTTTAAGAGCTCTTTATTGGGACAAGTGTTCTATTAGGACTGTAAGCAATAATTTTTAAGTAATATGTTTTGATGGAGTTTTCTTCTCTGAGCTGGATGGTTTGGTCGTGGAGCTTTCAGAAGTTTGTGCTGATGATGTCGTTCAGAAGGACGATGAAAGCTCTACGACCAAACCATCCAGCTCAGAGAACAAAACTCCATCAAAATCATCCACCTGAGCTACAAATCTCCACCATCTTAAGTAATCTATATATTCTGCTTCTTGGTTTTGAATGTTGTCCAAAACACGTAATCTGTCGCCTTGTTTCAATGATGATTGAAATGTTAGAAATACCATATTTTTAAAATTAACCTGAAAAAGTTTTTTGAAGTAATGTGATTGTTTTAAAATGAATGTCACACGTATTTTGGTATTAAAAACAGCACGTATTTTTCTGATATTAATTTATAATTACATGATATTGCTTTAAAACGATATTGATTTCAATCACCTTATAATGTTAATCACGAAGGGTAGATATGTTTGTACACTTAATGATCATATCTCAATCTGAGATATAACTTGCATTTCGAATAGCATTAAAAGTAGCATATCAACGTAACAGTAATAATATTCAAGAGAATACATGAATCTAAATATGACATCATTTTAATGAACAATATATCAAGTATAAATAACATTCTGAAATACATATCAGATAATGTAATAACATTTGTATTGTTTTGATTTACATTCCTGGATTTGTTTGTTTCGGTAAACATTTTTAACATTCTGATATGTAAGAAATATATAGGTGATACATATGACAAGATTTTTCCTAGCTGTGTATATATGTAATTCAGGGCAAATGTAAAGATTTGTTGAAACCTGACCTATATAGAAATTCAATCCATCCTGTGTGTTTGAAGAACTGTTTATAGTTACATTTAATCTACCTTGATTATATTGATTTTAGTCTTATTATCGGGAATAATGTGATTTATGTTGTTTCGCTTAATATTTCTATTATTCTTATGCTCCCATTTGTTTAGTTTGTTCTTTATTTCTCAGCGATTTAATGTGTGGTCACATTGTCTGAAATGCATTAGGCTAATATATCATGTTAATGTTGTTTTCATTGTGCTGTCTACATTTGTCAAAGGAGCTGACTTTTTAATATACTTAGGTCAGAAAAAAGGTTACACACGATTTGTTGAAGTTCAGTAGTTGACATTAAATATTTATTTATTTTATTTATCTAAACACATAAACATTGGTACAAGGAGTCACTAAATAGATATGTGCCATATAAATCGTTCGATTTGTGTGAAGGCTGAGATACTGCCCGGGCGCCCGAACTGAAGCAGATGGTTGTCTTAGAAGGCCAAACCCGGAACCTCTGACCGAAAATTCTGATCCACAAGGCAGTAGAGCAACGCCAGGAGATGCAGTCCCATGGTAGTCGGTGACCAACATTAGGTTCATACGCCATTTGCTCCCTCAGGATCCTATAACCCATGTGCACCATTGGTTTGGAATCAGGGTTTTCCAACTCCCTTAGGTGGGTCCTCCGTGTCCACCAACCCGGTTAAATCGCCGGTCATTCGCTTTTCGTCCTCTAGATTTCGTAAACAACAATGCCGCGGGAAGGCAGTGAGCAGGACTTCCTTGGCAGTGGCTGTATGCACGTGACCGTGTGAGAGCATTTCGAGAAGCAGAACTAACTCTCCCCACTCTCGGCCGTACCGGAGCATATGGGGCAAGGATCACCAGATGTTAATTTTATGATTATTTAGTACTGACTATCAAAAAGATTAAAAAACTATATCTGTTAAACAACCACATAAACTAATTACTGTTCACTGATAATTTTGGGTATAAAAGTGCCATACAATTTAAATGTGAATTTGTTAAATTCCAAAACTGCTCTGTTAATATGTAATGAAAATCAAAATTAAAATTAATAACTTTAGATCCACCAAAGTGTATATGAATTCACTTTTTCTTTGGTGTTTTACTGTTATTTGTAGTGATTTTGTAACAAAGTTGATTGACCACAAATTTCCAATCAATCATCATGAAAAGTACGAATATTTAAAGTATCTTTTTATTGATAAAAAAACTATACTTTATGCAGAAAAACGATATTTTAAAGTAAAACATTAAATTTTACAAAAGTACTACTTGATCCATAGTAGGTCAACTTTATTGTCCATTGCCTATAAAATGATAATTTCTTTTCCTTGCTAATTGTAAATAGGCCAAATATTAAACTCTTGTTTTTATTGGTTAATAAAACGTAGGTCTACTGCAAGACCATCCTGAGTTCTTAGTGGATTAAGAGTTCATTGTGATCACGTAGTCCGTACGAAAGTTGAAATACTATTCTCAATAAATTTTATTTCTATTTAAGCAAGCAATAAGTTTATTTTACAAAATTACTAACCTGAATCCATTACCAAGTCTATGCTTCACATAATTTGGTGGAGTCTCGTCAGATACACATCGATAACTACCCATAAGATTTATACAGGCTTGACTTGGAGCATATGGATTATTTGATTTACACACATTTTCCATTTCATGACATTCATCAATATCTTAGTTAAAAATGAAAAAAAACCAAATGAAATTAGATTCATTTGAAGTTTTAAAAAATCACAACACCACAAAAATAAAATTTCATCAAGCCTAGAATGTATCTGATATACAAGATTTCAAAGGACTGATTATTGTCTGCACTTAAATTTGTTTTATATAAACGTTTTGTCATTGTATTTTGTATTTCACCAACTCATATTCATTATATTTGAGGAGGATAGGAGATAGGTAGGACTTAGCAATACCACTGTTCGAATGTTTTTTAACGTAGTTAGCTCAAAGTCATAAAAATCGCAAGTTGAGAATAATGGGATAGTAAACTATATTTGAATACTTGAATGAGGTATGATATATATCATTAAACTGACTAGTTATCTTTGGAAGTGAACTGTGTAGCGTATCGAAACAAGATCTGGTGCGGATACCTGACTGAAAGCCTTCAGTTAGTGTTGTGTTCAGTAAAATTTTTAGGGTTAACATCAATGTCAAGGACGTTCAAAGCTATTCATTTCGAGTATTTGTTTATTGCTACATAGTTATCAACACGTAATTCAAAACACCTATGATGTATTTCAAAGTATAGCGTTTTAAACTACTATATGTATTGTTAACAAACACTCGTATGATGAACTGTCTTTCGTAACGATAAATATTTAATTACAGTCATGAAGTACTCAGTTATTTTTAAAACAGGATCACTTATCGGTAATAAGTAAATAAAATTTTAAGTTAGCAGATCACGAAATTGTAGAAGTTCAGTAAACATACTGTAGAGACTGGCTAAGGTTTTCATACATTTTCAGTTAGTTAAACAAGTTCAACTGTACTAGTGAGAAGCACTACTGATGAGAATTCTCTTGGTTTATTTTGATATCGTAAATTAAAAATTTATGTTGGAAAAGAATTCAAATAACCTGTCAGAAAAACAGTATTTGTGTACCCGATGAATTCTCTTATTCAAATATCAATAATGGAAATAAATGGTGTAACATTTATTCTATGTTTTGCTTCGGAGCAATTGGTTAACCTACGTTTCAGTCAGATTTAATTAATATTTCGATGTAGTAACATGAAATGCATATCAATAATATAAATTATAACATGTCTTTTAGAAATATTCAATGGTAATTGATAAAGATGAAGATTGATGGATTTGTAGATCAATGTATTCAGCCTAACAAGTAATTGGGCGTCAGAATTTACTCTAGGTGACTGTGACTAATGAACATATTATATTACGAATCATAATTATGGGGCGTTTTGTGAACTCTTATAGTACGTTTCGAAAATTGGATGACTGAACCAGTTAGATTTATTAGTTTAAACTTTACAAATACATATTACTTCTCAGAATAATATTGACAAACACATTCTAACAATCGAACGTTTATACATGAATCTGTTACCTCCGTTCGAATGATAAATTTGTAAAATACTACATGTATTTTATATCAATGTTTTTTGACAATATCATTTGTAAGCCGTTACATTATACATCAGATCTCCTGAATGGATCGCGTTACTGTAACATGAACAATAAGCAATCTTAGATATTAGTTTTATCTTCCACGATCTTAACTTCTAAAATAATCATAACTACTGTACCGACTGGTAATGCAGACAACTTGCTGATATAATTAATTAAGGGTCTTATAATATAAACCATATCTTATAATATGATCAGTGCATGTCAATACCGAGTGTAAATAATGGAATGGCTGGTAGTGCCAGAATACTTCTATTACACGTTTCAAAGAATTTCTTTAACAAACACAGTAGAGGAATCATTATAAATTTTGTTACTTTTGATTTAGTTCACATCTGATACAAATTAAATTGAAGTCTTTTTTCCATAGGAAGTGGTTAATTGGTTTTTAAGACATGCAACTAGATTCACTGAATGACAAAATGTTTTTACTCAAAATCAGCTTCCTATGGAAATTTAAGGCGACCTATTATATACATATGTATCTTAAGAGAAAAATTAAAGATGTGATTGACAGGAGTAGGTGAATTTTATTTTTCATAACCCTCATAAATAAATGTGATAGCTTATAAGATTAAAATAGGTAAGTGTGGTGTGTCCTACTGATATCGACAGATATAACTAGTATCTGTCATCAATCGAAAGTGAAATTTTTGCGGGCAGAAGGTTAAGAGGATCGAAGGAAAGAGAACGGGACCAGAGAATGATTGCTGTGGAAACGAAAGAACAATGAAGTCTGAGACGATTCACTGACATTTTGCAAATGAAGTATTTACTGTATGGTTCTTAGATTTTACTAGGATGTTCTGTAATTTTCGGTTTAAATAAATTTGATTATCTCCATTTGTGTTCTCGTTAATTACAAAGTAACAGTTTTATTTGTAATATGTACTTATTAACACATCTTTTGTTGAATAATTACAATCAATCTTTTCTTTCTTTCTTGAAGTACATAGACTATCTATCCAAAAGAACATCTGATAATGTATTCGTGCCATACAAATGTTCATAATATGTAATTGGGTTATTTTTTAAGAGTTTATTTCGAAAATCATTTCATCATTAGACCAGATTTTAAAACATATTTAATCTATTTTAACAGTTGATGATAAGAAAATTTGCGTAGAATCATGGAATTTGAAAATATTATTTTCACTACAAAAATGGTATAAATTGAATAACATTTGTTACCAAATGGGAATAATCAATTAGTTTATACTAAACTAAGATTTCTTATGAGTAAATACTCAGTTTTCATTCACTTGGTGTAGTTTACGTGTACCTTCCTAATGTTATTTAGGACTTCAATTGATCAGTCTTTTATTGGCATACGTGCATCGTGTGCCGACTGCCTTGATATTGCCTTAATTCACAAGCATTCTAAGCAAAGATGGATAGTAGCTATCAGTGGAATCCAGGACTCGCGTTTCATCCTATTTAGGACTCGTCAGCTGGATATATCTGCATCTTAAAGTTGATGCTCACTCTGGGACTCGAACCCAGTACCAGACACTTCAAACGCCATCTCATTATCTACTTAGCTACTGAGTTCTGGTAGCCAGCTGACGAGTCCCAAATAGGACGAAACGCGCGTCAAAATGGATTCCACTGATAGCCACTAACCATCTTTACTTATTCAGTTTTTACGTTATTTTCCACCTACAAAATTAACTAACTATTTAGTGTAAAATGAAGCAAAAATTAATTAGTAAATATACAACAATTAATCAAATTCAATGACAGTGAATAAAATGATCAATTAAAACTGTGGGTTTCATTGTTGTATAAATATTGAATAAACCGACAGAAAGTAGGTCATAGAATAAATGTTTTTATTAAAATCTAAGTATAACTTTTTGTTGTTGAAACTTTGGAGAATTTATCCACTAATCGATTTTAATAGAAAACAAACAACATTTGTGTTCATGAGTTATGCATACTCTATAAAATGTAATGATAAAAGGAATAGTAAACAAAACCATTTAAGAAGTAAACAAAATAATAATTAAGATTCAATAGTTTGCTAAATTCCACGTATTTTAATTTGTCCATTTTATTGAAAAACAAAACAAACTATGACCTCATCATTCAAATGGGGAATTTACTCAAACGTTTAATTATTGATTCTTAGGGAGAATACTTGTTAATTTATCTACTTTGATTTAACTGAATTTGTTTTCAAAGTTTGAAAACGATGAATGAAGGTAGACATTGTTTCTTCACCTATGGTAAACTTTGAATTACGAGACGTTAATTTTTCTCAAGTAGAATGATGATTTTAATCAATTAAAAGGTAAGTAAATCAGATTTCTATAAAATAACCTGGAGATATTTTTTACATACAATTTCTTTATTGGTAATCAATTCGCTACTCGGAGAACTTAGTGGGGAGTAATATCCATTATAAAAATAAATGGTGCACATACGCAAGGAAAACTAATTAGTTACATAAAATGTCATTTTGCTTAATTATTAATGGTTTCAAAGTCATTACAGCTTTTAAAATCATTTATCGGCAAAATGTACTTCTAGTGAAGAAAACACAACACTCCATTTTATTGTGACATAAAATGAATTAGAATTTTTTACAAGAAAAATAAATGAATAGAGTTGAGAAACGAACAATACCAATGGTTTAAAGGTTATCTAAAACACTCGATGTAATCCAAATAAGTAAATATTTCGAGATGTTATTGTCCCACTAGTTTTGTAATCCTCAGGATTTCATCACTAATAAAAAACTCTGTCAATTAACAAGTAAAAAGGCAGGAAAAGCGAAAGGGATAGAGTAATAGAAAGTAGAAGGCACTTCTGTCATGTAAATCCTTTTCAACCTTTATTTACTTGGATTTGAAAACAAGCGAATCTATATATCTTCCTATGTCACATTTTTTTATATATTTGTTCTCATCATCGTAAACTAGTGATAGAAATATATTTTCTTAAAATGAGAATAACAGTGAATTTGAAAATTTAGGACTCATCAGCTATCTGTGCCCGCATTTCAGTATTGAAACACAGTAAGATTTCCTTCTATCAGGCTACTGAATTATAATAACCATGAACTTTCTCAACCGGTATAGTTTTTGCTATTAGTTACGTCAGTTCGAAATTTCAATAAAGAGAAAACATGGAGTGTCAATATTAATAATAAACATCAAGCATAGTTAACCCTACTATTTTATATTTATATTTATCTTACGATAATATGTTTGCAGATTAAAAACCTATTACTTATCGCTTGACTGAATTGTAAACAATTATAATAAAATTCTGGAAATGTTATGGTCTCTGAGTTAGGTGTTTCACTTGTAAAGATTCATTGTTCTTTTAAACAACATTATCAGCACGTACTTCGTGTCGCAGTTGCTTTTAAAGTAAATGATGCCCAGAAGAACAGTGAAAGTTTCACAACTACTTAAAGTCCATAACACCTCCAACCTACTCATCCAAAGTCAAAAGTATCGGTGTTGTATGAGGAACTAGTATGTGTAAGAACGTGAGAATGACCCATAATTAACAGAATAATTATCATGTCACCAAAAAATTATCAATCACATTGGTGTTATGCTATTTAGACCACTTACAATTACGGACAACAAATAAGATCCTTTTTATACAACATAAATCTTTCCACTTAGTTTTTATTCAATCTTGTTTGGTTCCTTTGGCCAGACACTGTGAGATTATGTGTTAAAGTGAGTTAGAGTGTAAATGAAATTTATCAATCTCACGCTTCACAAGTTTATCAATAAATTAAAAGTACAATAATTTCAGTTAAAGTGGTGTAATTTATAAAGGACAAACTTATCTGACTACAAAAATTACTACAATAATTTTCCATATTTATTTCACAATTACAGAATAATATGAACACGTGATTTACTGTATTTAAAGGAAATATATACCACATAAAATACTACTTATTTATACCTATGTGTGTATTTCTGTTATCTCTGAATTGTTGTTTATGTCTCGAAATCTATTCCATCGTGTAAATGACGAAACAATTGTTTACCAAAGAAACATCAATATTGATTGTATTAAATACAAAATTTATTATTATGATATTCACTTCCTAGATTTGTTATTCCAGAAAAATGTTAATGTTTATTAACTTTTGGAAATGTGGTAATGAGAATATTTAACAACAATTTAATAAAAACTCAATTATGCTAATTTACAATATGATTGGCATACACATTTTGCATTTAACTTTGATGAGAATGCTTCATCATAAAACACTACATATATGATAAACAAAGATGAAAACTGATTAAGAACGATATCCAATGGACTGTAGATTTTTTATTTATAAAAGATAGAGAGTTCTCTGAATCGTATTGGTGAATGATTTCTAAAAATCAAATGTTTAATATACTGTTGCTCATTTGCGTTAGATTCCATGTTGATTTATAGATGAATAGCTTATATGTAAAAATGAATGGACTGGAGTTGGGAATGTGATTCAATGAATACCGATTTAATGGTTTAAAAATAATCAACTTGCTGTAAAAACTAAATAATCTTTCTTTCAATCCGTCCTATGATCATCGATAAGACAAGACATCTGTCCAGTATTCTCTAATTGTTCAAATAGACTTCAATCTGTGTTTCAGTATATGCAAAAATTGAGCAGTCACCACCAACTTCCCATCATATGCTTTATCACATGTTTCATCACAAATGCTATTGAAACTTAGTTGTACTATCAATTAGAGTTTTTCGCAATGAGATTATTCGAGATATATTTATTAATATTTACTGCTCTTTCCTTATACGTGTCACATATAACGAACAGAATGCACGCAGTTAATATTTTATATTTCCACTTTTTTTACGATAATCGTAAACAGGATTTTTGATAATATATCAGCATAGATAAACGATCCAAACAATTTATCAGTCAGTAAATTATTGTGAACTATGTGGGAGATTTCAAGGTCCTTCATAATCATCATTACACGTGAGACTTTACAATCACTTCATTCCATTCCACGCAGATCCAGAAACGTAACGGAGAAAGAAGACAAATTCAGCATTAAATGTGGAGTACGTTGGATTACTTATAAGATGTATTATTTTGGACATAGCTGATGATTCTTTCACTCAGCTATGCAGGGATATTAACTAGCAGTGAGAAGGCATGATGTTTTATTTTTAGACCATTACACGCAGAGGATTATGGAAAAAAATTGGATGCGAAAGTACTGATATTTCCCACTGAGGTAATTCCAAGAATGTCAGAAAACTTTAAAAGTATGAAACTGAGATCAGTCAAGAATCGACAGACCCGTCGATAAAGATCTAAGTTACCTGTCTCTTCCATTAAAACTGCGAAATGGTTTAGGTCAGACAACCATATTAAGACATGAAAACAGTACACATAAATCAGTTCATGATATTACGCGACTAGTTTTGAGAGGAAATCTCAGGGGTTACAGTGTGAAACCGTAACTAGTAGAGTTAAACTGTGTCGGATGTGGGGAAGGTACCCACAAGAAACAATGGAAGATAATTACACAGCGTCGCGAAGTGACTGAAGTTTGACTTGTATACCACTGGATCCATATTTAGTGACCTAGATGTTAAGCGTTTGCGCAAGACCGAAGATCACTACTTAGATTCTTGATTGCGCAGTCGTGGATGTGCACTGATGAAGAACGGATATCCAGTGCTTCCATATTTTATATAATTACCTAACTAAAATCATTTCGTGGTTTTAGAGAAGTTCAACAAATCTCCACACCCACATACTGATAAGTCTCAACCTATGTTAGAAACGTCAATTAGCCACATGGTTAGAGGTTAACCGGATAAAATACTCAATGGGATCACACTGATATATGAAGATAATAAGACGTACTAAGTTAGTCTGTCAATCAGAAACAAGGTCCTAAGTTTATACGGAGTCGGTTATTCTGGATTTTAAACAGCTCCTGTTATTGTGTATAAAAAACACACAATTTATATTTAATAATGTGCTGTACCGCCAAATTGATGGAGTAGCCATGGACAGCCCTTTGGGCCCAATTCTGGCCGGCATATTTATGGGAAACCTGGGAAAAAATAAGCTCAAGCATGCAATCGATGGTACCACACTCTACTGTAGATATATTGGTGACATATTTCTTGTCTGCAACAATCACAAGCACTCCATTAACCTACTCAGTCTGTTTAATAAAGCACACGAAGATATAGAATTTACTATGGAACATGGAGTTGAAGGTAAATTCCATTTCCTAGATATTGGAATCAGACGAACATCAGATGGTACATTACAAAGACACATTCATTGCGAAAATACTTGGAGTGGTGTTTATCTCAATTACTACAGCTTCGGTCTAATGAGTTACAAAAAGGGTATTGTACGAACCCTTTTTGACCGCGCATGTAAAATCTGCTCAAAGGAATGCCTTGAAGAAGAAGTTCCTCTAATCAATAATTGCCTACATGAAAACGCATATCCGGTGAAATTCATCCATAAGTGCGCAGATACCAACCTTCGCGTAAGCATGATACAGTGGAAAATAAAGCTTGCTTCTTATACTTGCACTTCAAAGGAGATGAAATTACCGGAATAATCAACCACAGAATAAATTCCGCGTTGAAATTGACCTACCCAGCAGCAAAATTGACGATGTTATGGGAAACGAACTGCTCACCCAAACAAACTAAAATCGACAGGTCCTCTTTTCTCAGTAGCTACAACTGAATTTACCGATTCACATGTACGTACCAAAGCACATACATTGGAGTCAGTCAGTCAGCTACAACGTAGGACCAGGCACATTTATGCATCGATCCAAGTTGCCATACCTCATTAACCCCAATAACATACATTGGAAGAATTGAGCGAAGAGTACATGTTCGCATTTCTGATCATGTTCCAAAAACCTTGAGGCTGCGAAGGATTAAGGCTTTCAACAGTGCAATAGCTCGGTATTTACTTGACACCGTGCATACCATCGACATTTCTCACGCTTTTAAAGTTATCAGCAGACAAAGAAGTACGACTGCTCTCCGTTTTGCTGAAGTGACCGCGATAAAAAAACTTAAACCGGATTTATGTATTCCAAAAGAGACAGTAGTAAACTTATTGTTACCCTGGTAATCGATTTTTGTTTTATTTTTATTGTTTTTTGGTTATTTGTGTTGTTTTATTCATTTATTTAGTGTAACATATTTGTTTGGTGTTATATTCCTCTCCCATTACCGAATTCTTAAGCCAACTTTTCATTCACACATTTCCGCCCACTTACCCTCTTAAATTATGTTAACTTTTCAAATTCTATTCAATTATTACGTAACCTGTCTTATCACTATTTAATCCCATGAATCCTTCACTACCTCTAAAATTACCACACAATTTATGAACTCCAGTCAACAACTGCACCACCCATCCTGGATTGTTTCCTTAATTCTAACACCAAATAACCTCTAACCTGTTTTTGCATATGTGTATATATGTCGTCATTATTGATAACCTTTGTCATTCCAATTATTTGCATTCAGTTATGCCAATTGTTTCATACTATTTCTAATCTCAATGTAAAATACTAATACATATTTGATTATAAGCAGCTGACGAGAAACCTCGAAATATTATGAATTCGTACTATTCTGCATCAATATTTGTTCTTGCTTTATTTAAACTTATAAAGGTAACTAATTTCATGAAATTCTGGAATAATCAGAGTGTTCACTTATACTTGAAGTAGGCGTCGATGACATTAACGAAGATGATATCGGAATCTTCCGGGTTAAATCATTCAGAGAACTCAGGATTACAAAAGTACTCATCTGAGTAACAAATCTTCTCTATCATTTTAACAATTAGCTTTTCCAAAATTTTCGAACTTACGAATGGGTAGATTAAGCGCCATAGTGAAAATAGTACTGTGAAGGAATAATAATAATAATGAAATGTATCAATGTTTCAGAGGATTAAAATGAAACTAAAAACAACTTTTTATGAAAATATGAATAAATAGTAAATAATAGATTATATAACGAACATACGAACGTCTGGAACTAGAAACTTCAGAAATCATAGGAGCTATTTAAATCAAGGACCGTTAGGTAGTTGAATAAAATATGACATACAAGACTCGAAATTATTCATTACACATGGAGTGCATCTATATTCATTCGGAGATTACACCAATCAGTTATGTTCGTTGGATTAAAACTGCAATTTACGGTGATAAGTTCATATTCAATATAAAAGTCCAAATTAACATTTAAAAAGTTCATGAAATAACATATTTACTAAAAAAAACATAACAAATACAGTATATACTTAACATTGATGATAATGGCCTTAACAATAACCTCTACGTCTTACCATAACATCGATTTCCTCTCCCTAGCCGAAATCCGTCAGGACATTGGCATTGATAACTTCCAGGTTGATTAATACATAATGAATATGGACACGGCGATATATAGTTAATATCATTATTGTACGGTTTCACATTGCATTCGTCGATATCTGATTTAATTAGTTTTTATTAATTATTATTGATTGTTTTGCATTATTTTTAAAAACACAAAAATGAATTATAAGTAGTATGGATTTTGACAAATTATTGATATGATTCTATTATCAAACATTAAAATTAATTAAATATTTATCAGAATGTGGATCTTACTCATTTCGAAATCGGTCATGTTAGATTTGATGAACAGCACACAAGCACAAATTACGTTACTTATTAGTAACATAAAGTGTAAAGTACATAATGTTGGTAGAATCTCTCAATTAAGTGCATTTTTGACGCTTACATTATTTACTTTAATACAGATAATAACGTAGTATCTATCAACTCTTTGTTGAAGGTCTCAAATTCAATAAATTTCTATAATAAAAATAACACTGAATAAAATAAATTCTCGAGTCGATCTAAGCTAAACCACCTTTAAAAGTTGGAAGCACTGAAAGGCCGTTCCATCCTAATATGGGACCTCTCTGGGGTGCGTATCCACAATCCTGCATTTGTTAGTTGAACTGAGGATTTTCGATTTCGCGCGTGAACGTCTAATCTCCAAACCACTTATCGATCATCCAACAGTGTTATTATCTTACTTCCTTATCTTGCTCAACCAGTATATTTTAATCCGTGTAGGGTGTGAGAGAGTTATCCAGCTCAGATTATAGATTGAGGGTTGCACAAATCATGGGTCAGCTGAATTTAGACAACAATATCGTTGGATACCGGCTCAGTGGTGTTACTCTACTTATATTTGGATTGTGTATATTTTCGTATTCAAGGACGCTCGTTTGATTTTGTTTCGATCATCTCAGCTGAATGTAACTGTATCATATTGTTGATTTTAACTTAACACGTGAATATGATCGACGGATATTATTATTTTTACTAGATTTTTACTGTTTTTTTTGCATTTGACTGGTTTGCCAATTCAACTAACACTTTTCAGAAAAAAATATGAATTTTTCCCCATTTATAGTTCACGATGATCACCAGTCAAGTCTAAATCCTTTCCGGGCGAAAAATGACGGTAAAATAATTTTCCAGCGTCGTTTCGGAAAAGTAAAGTGTAACTAACCTTGTGTTTTTTTCTTTATATTAATATACCTAGCTATTCACGTAATTTAATTTCTATGGCAGGATATTATTTTCGTTTTATAGTTATATTACTAATAACAGTAATAGTAGCTTAAGTAAAGTATCTAAAATAACGTTCATAGGACTAAGATCTTGAAAAATGTAATGAACTGACCAACGCACGACTTTTCATTTTCTCCATTTTTATATCCAGGAGCACACTGACATCGATAACCGCCAATCATATTTACGCACTGGTGTTCTTTTCCACAAATATCTGGTTTTTCAGTGCATTCATTAACATCTGTGAGAAACAAAGTAAAGATATTGTTGAAAGTAAGAATATAATCGAATGTTTCAAAAATGTGGTGAAGAAATACATGATTATTAGTGTAAATATCAGAAAAGTGGATATTTAATCTCGTTTTGTTTAAAAAAAAGCTAGGAATGGGGTTTTGACCTATACATGTGTACAGTTATATTTTAATGATATAGATACCTCGAAAACATAAGTTTTATATGCTTGATTAACTTGTTTCTGATAAAATTTAATTCAAGAGAAAAATAAACAAGACTACCGTTTGTTTAGCCCATTATAGATAACAGCTAGCAGATCTAACAATGCCACGAGTGAAAGTGAATGTAATTATGGGTTGTCATATGTAGGATTTTACGCAGCAAGATTTGTGATCTTTTAAAAATTATTAAATACTGTCTTTTCATTGTGCTTTGTTTCTATCTATTAAGGCATGAAAGAAGTGTCAGTTGTTGTTGCGGAATGCCATAGATTATTAATGTCATCAGACTCTGTACTCCAGTAGTAGTGCTTAAAGTGATTTAAACGGTTATGCGGATTTATTTTATTTTGTTACATATCAGAAGACCTCGGAACAGTTTCAGTAAGTATAGACATATTTCATTTTCATGTAGTTAATAATGAAGTGAATAGTGTACGCCATGGTTCTGTGTGACTGTAACACATGGATGTTAAGATTGAAATGACACGGTAGACAAAAAGTTAACCTAATCATCACCTCGTTAATTTCATAGTTTGATGATTAACTTATAATATCTGAATCGCATATTCATCTATGTTTTGAATTCAATTCAATAATGATTATTTTCATGATAATGTTTTTGCAGATACGTACGCGACTTCCCTACATAAAATAATCGATTCTTATAGAGGTATATCTCGAATTCCCGTAGTTGTTTGTCAGAGTATTAAATAAATTACTCGGATATGTGAGTTGTAATCGACATCCTTAATGACCGTATTGTGTTGCGGGATCAATTGGAAAATCTGTCGTCTACATAACTCACGATACTCCTGTTATACAATGAACAAGATAAACAAAAGCTAACTTTAATTGCTGCTGTTGTTCTATATGTTTAGTCATAGTAACAACTGAACAGTACTGATGCTACATGCACATGCATGCGTTATCCACTTAGCTACTGAGTCGTGATAGCCACTAGCTTGTGCGATGGAGTGAAGTTTAATTCATTTTTGTATTGGTTGTTTGAATCTTCCCATTGATGTTTACGATTTCAGTTAATCAGTCTCTTATAATGCTTGTGACTTAAGGCAATATCAAGACAATCCGCACAGGATGCACATATGCCAATAAGAGACTGATTAATTGCAGTCGTAAACATCAATAAGATGATTCAAGCAACCAATACAAAAAGGTCTGAACAAAAATGGTTTATTTTAAAAAGTTATGGAAAGTAGACTCAAAACGTGGTAGTGTATTCCAATGACATTCTTGTCAGTAGGCAAAGGAAACTATGTAGTTTAGGAATGTGTTGAAATATTAAACCACATACATAAATCTATATGTTAATCTCGTTTTTTTATTAAATCTCTTTCATCACACTTTAAAGCCTTTATTACTTATGAAATAGATTATACTAATTTTTTCGTCTGAGCATTTGTAAGATTGACGATACTGTTCAGCTTTTTATTTGTGATGAACTTTTCTACAGAAAAAGTAATTACGACTAACCTTTGCATTTTAAGTCTGGATAACCTAACCAAATAAAACCTTCAGGGCAGACACAAACGTAACTTCCTTGGGTATTCACACACCGAGCCCTTGTATCAGGACAAGATTCCGCTGGTGTAAATATTGAACATTCATCAATATCTAAGGTACAGTAGATAATAAACAGAACAGAAATATAACTTCAGTGTGTACAAACAAATAAGTGTGAGATATGTTTTATTCTCGACATGATTGACCCCTACGGGTCAAGTTACTACTAGCAAATAACTTCAAGAAAAAAAATCATCATGTTCAAGTGTGAAGCCCCGACCAGTGGAGCTAAACTATATGGAAAGTGGGAAAGTGTATATAGACTAGTCAAGCATAAATAGTTTTGAGCTCATCGCGATTCTGTTGATAAATAACGTGGATTGAGTAGGAAGATTTTCCAGTTTTGTCTACATCCCAGCACATATTTTTGAGGAAAATAAACATTTTTTTAGAAATCAAATTAAAAAATTTAAGGAACCTTCTAGTTTCTAGCCTTACGTATGCGAAAACTAGAAAATATGTTTCCACAGCTTTAAAGTAGTAATTTTTGTTAGAATCAAAATAAAAGTTTTCAAAAAAAATTGACTAGAAAATGAAAACTATTTAGTCAGTAGTTACTTTATAAAAAGTCAAAATAATTTTCGTGACAGACTGAAATTAACTGAAAAAGTACCAGAAACTAGGTATTGAATTTCATTATCCCGTATATTTTACGTGAATTCAGGTTAAAACTTTGAACTTAAGTGAATTTAAGGATAACTTTACTAGTAACCATGATTCGTCATTCATGCTGGGATCGATTTTAAAGGTTTCAGATCTCTAATCAACTCTCTATTATCGTATTAAAAACAAATCACTAATATACATCAAATTATCTTTTACAATCTGTGAAAACATGATCATTGTAAATTTACTATAAGCGAAAAGTGGTGAGTGTTAAACTTTAAAAAGGTCGCTCTTTTGTGACCTACTTAATGTTCGGTCCGAATGTCTTATGTATTAGTGTTTCGTTAACCTATAACTTATCTAAGGAAATACCCTAACATTGTAAACGTTTGTCAAAATTCGAATCAACGGCTTAACAAAAATTGGGTTCTAAGTATAAAACAGATATCATATGTAAAATCATGTTTAAATAGTCTCAGCGATTGAAATCCAAATAATCTTAACATAGCACCTGCCAAACTAGTCCAAGCTTCTATAAAGAAAGCTCCTTGAGATTATTCAAATGCAGTTTTCACATTGAAATTGCACAGTTGTCAGTAAAACGTCTCTGGTGAAATGTATGAATTTAAGTTGTATTTGTTTTAATAGTATATAAAACTTTTGTATGATGATGAAATACTAGAAAGTCTTTTTTAGATTTCACTTACTGAGATTAGATAACGAAAGTAGAAGAAAGTTATCAAGGCTCAGTACAAATATTACATTATCAAACTAGCTAAATCCAACAATACAATTTAATTTGCTGTGTTCATTACTTTATGTAGTCATAGTGTAAAATTTTTGTGGATGGATTTCAACCAAGTGTGTGTGAATGATTATCAAAAATGAGTTAAGCACATTATATTAAATTTCTTCAACTACTCAGTATCTGATAAATACTAAATGTCCATTATTTCATTTGGTATTATTTACTTGAATCTTCACACTGCTGTTTAACAGTAACTAAATAGATAATGCAGTGGCGTTTGAAGCGAACGGTACTGCGTTCGAGTCCCAGAGTGAAGATCAACTTTGAGATGCAGGTACATCCAGCTGACGAGTCCCAAATAGAACGAAACCTACATCCTGTATTCCACTACTAGCCACTATCCATCTTTGCTTATGAATGTTTATTAATTCAAGAAAACTAATGTATCCAGTAACGTCATATTTACAAATCAGTTCAATCATTTGACTAAAGTTATCGTAATAAATTACATTCTTACTGTAGGGAGGAGATAAAACAAACCAAATATGAAATAGATTTAATTATTCTATTTAAATAATATTCCCAAATTAATCAAAAGATGTCATGCTGTAACTATTCTTCAATGAGAATCAGTTAACTATGATCCAATAGAGATAGTAACTTTAGAAAATAAACAAATCAGTAAACCAAAACAGTATGAGGTACACTTATGAGAAAAACAGGAAAATTGTAAAATGTCATGCCTTTAATCTTTACAATAACAATTCTAGAAACAAGTAAAAAACTTTATGTAAACAGTATGCTTGAAAAAACTTTTTTTCATTGTTGTTGTGATTAAATATGTAAGACGTTTATAAGAGGAAATATTGTTGAAACACGAAATGGACTTGGCTCATTAAACATTACCAATAATCAAGGAACCAAATAGTATAAGAAAATCATTCCTTTATCCGATTATCGTTAAATTATTAATTTCTATCATTATTTTGCGAATGTACTTTAAAATGCACAAAAGCAGAGTCAGTTTTTTCCTTTGATAACATTCATGCCTAGATTACTTTCAAATAAATATTTTTTTTCTGGTAAGCATTTTTTAGCGAGTTAGTTTTCTACGGGATGGGGACGCTAACCCCATGCCCAACCCTCCTCCTTTATTCGGGCTTGGGACCGGCAGTGACTCTGGAAGAGCTACAGGCGGAGCTGGAAAGGATTGCTCAGGATAGGGTTGGATGGCGAATGCTGGTGAGCGGCCTATGTTCCTTCACGAGGAGTAACAGGCGTAAGTAAGTAAGTAAATATATATATATATATATATATATTTCTTATGATATTTAACATCAAAGTACTTTTAATAATCTATTTGAACAATGAAAAAGTATGTTAATCGTGCAAATTGTGTGTGAAGAATCGATACAATTAATTGTTGATGAAGAGATATAATTGTGATTGTCAAAGTCAAGTTATATCTATACACAATTGTTGATAGTTCTTACAAAAAACGAAAAAAAATCAGTGATATATACAACCGATCAAAGAAATATTTGTATTTGTGTTGCGATCACGAACCGACCTAAGCTTAATAACCATTGAAGACCAGAAAGAACTGGATGGCCATTTCATCTAACTATGGCACAGTTTAGCAGGGTTCATACACGGTACTATAGAGAATGAACCTAGGATTTTCAGGTGTTCGGGCGAGGCCTTAAACTTCAGACTAATGAGCCAACATTCAAATGTTGACATTGCCTAACTTCGGTCAACTGACGATAGTCCACAAATAACCGTCATTGTTTTGAGTAGATAAATGTCTCTGTAGATCAAGCGCTCGCTACAAGACCTGAAGGTCCTGAGTTCGATCCCTCGTAGGGTTATTGATACACATTGCTGAGGAGTCACGTTTTGAGACAAAATAGCTACTCAATTCATTCAGGTTTTCAGTAATATACAAAGGTCGGTTTTTAGCAGTAATAACATTCAAAATCATCCACGCAACCTCTATCATGAAGAATATTGATGACTTGACAGTGTTAATTTAATTAGTAAACATAAAGATTATATACTGAATTAATCAGTTGTTCTATATCGCCCAAATGACCATGGAACTATGTTGACGCAATTCACATCAGTACAAAAACTTGAAGTTAAATCAATGCAATGAAAGGAATAAAAAAGAATAATGCTGACATTAATGAAAAACCAAATATCGTAAATCTAGTTCAAAACGAATGAATAAAATTCTGAAATGAAATGTGTGAAGTGAACGTGTGAATTGATCTACGTCAATGAGATTAATTTAGAGATATATCAACTGACGTATCAATCACTACTAACGAAGTTTCATTAGACTTTGTCAATAAGTTCTCAGAATACCCAAGAACTTAAACACATCCAATTGATATGATGGGATAAAAAGACAAAATCTAATTTTAACTCGAGAATTTTGGGTCAATATTACGTTTTTTCAATTCAATATAATGATTACTCAATGTAATGTTTGTTTGGCTTTCCAATCAGATATTTTATTCATTATAACATTAGTTTATTTTAGTGTACTGTTTCTCCAAGATACAATATTCCTGTATTGAATTACTATGAAATATACTCAAAATGACATGCATCATGTGAATTGTTATAAATCCGGGTATTTTTCATATATATGTGATTTTATTCTAGTTAGTAATCAAAATGAGTTTACAGTCAGTATATAAGTGAATATATTTTTGACTAGGATAGTCGTGTTTTGTAGTTAAGAAGTCTTCACTCATACAAGTCTTGGTGTTCTCACTTCAAATCGTAGAAATTACAGTGGTTACTTGTTTTCTTTCTCAAGTTTAAGTGATAAATGACGTTGATATAAAATCAATAAATTTATATTTTTATTTATCTACTGTCAAAATTCATAAATTTCATTCTATGCTTACTGGTATATCATCTTAAGTTGAGTGCTGATACCGGAGATACAACATGCTTCAGCAGTCAAAGTTGACCTAATGTTTCTACTTGGTGCTCTTTACCTAAAATTTGAATTCTTTACTAGATGATTATATGATAGTTCATTGTCAATTATTAAGTTACGTTCAAATTTACCGAATTCTAAATGAAAACAAAATAAGTTGTTTCAATTCACTTGTGTTCAGCACCCCATAAAAACAATAAAAGAGGAAAGCTAATAAAGAATTACACACAGATTGTTAAAAATGAAATCGATTTTCATTAAATCTTCTTCGAATTTCTCATTGATATTCACAGATATATCAGACATTGTAGTTAATTGCTGTAGCTTATTTCTATTATTTTTACAATAATGTAATGATTAAGCTTGAGTGAAGACATGAATTATTTATCGCCACTTTCTGAGTTCACTTATCCCAAAATCCTATTTACTATGAGGTCATCCACCACTTTAAAACTGGTAACTAATATTAAGGATTTTTTTCAGTAGTATTGACTTTAATGTAAGTTGTAGTATTTTCGTGGTTAACTTTTTGAAAATGTAGAATTTCATTTACAGACTCATTGGTATTATAATTGTAAAATTCAGTTTATTTAACGTTAGGAACATCATACTTTTGCCGTTTCTAAGCATATATGTGAAGTTAATGCTGTGCTTCAAAACCGATTCATTTACATTGTTCACTAGTTCATCAAATGTTGTTTATCAAAGTTTTGAACTCTTTACCTAGGGATCATTCAAGAGGATAGTCAAAAAGTAGAGAGATTATTGAGAAATCTACAAGTAAATTATCTATTTACGATGAAAAATTATGGTTCATGATAAAGTTCTTATGAGAATAGCTGACTGAATTTTGATATACTCAACTGCAGTGCATATCAACAAATATTAGAATCAGTGAGATAAAAGTAATTGCTTTGAGATTTTAGGTGATGTTTGCTAGTCAATCCTAAGTTTTTAAAACATTATAGACTCTATTGGATATTGGTGAAAGCATCATCGAAAGCTAGATGGGATACTTTAGATTAGATCCACGTTGACCATAAAGGATAATGAAAAATTTCTAATTTATAACCATAAGGATTTCCGTTTCAATCCTTCATTATAACAAGATAATTTGGTAAGCAAAATCGTACACTGATGTTCATTTAAAATGACACTTATAAGGATATCATTTCATGAATTTGACTGAAACCTATTAAAAGATTGAACAATAATACGATAGTTGTTTACAGTGTAAACATGGAAGCTTTAAAATTATACAGTACATTATTTAAAATGTAAACTTACCTGTACAATCTGTTTCATTAATATTCTTATATCCATGTTTACATATACACTGATAAGAACCAATAGTATTTTTACAAAATGTATGAGCACCACAACTGTCTATGTTCAATTCACATTCATTTATATCTAATTGAAATTGGAATGAAATAAGAATGTGAAATATACTATCGAACTTTAAAGAATGTAAACTAGAAATATATTCTTAAGCCACATATGTTACTCCTTACACTGAGTAGATTTTGCATATTATTAAGCCACTCATTGTTTATTAAGTGAACCACAACAACAGAATTCATATCTATATGAAAGTTTGAAACGATAGATTATGGATTCCAGTAAGTCGGAATGTGAATGTTAAATCTAGTAGACCTAATTAAGGAACTCGTAATGAGGCATCAATAAATATTATATTTCACTATTGAGTAATAGGTCAATCAGTTATTCCTGACTACTTAATGTTCAGTGCGTGGTACAAATTGAGTCCTGTATACCATATTATAGTCTGTCCATCAAAGTATTTGACTCTCTATAACAGTGGATTTCATTTTTTGACAAGATATTTGAGTTGTTTAGCTGTAAAAACTGGACTTACATCAGGGCCCATCTGGGCGCTTGAGGGAACTGATATTCTAAAGGGGATTCCATCAACACTTAATTAGTGAAAATGAAGATTTCTTCCAGTTAATCTGGCATGTCTCATACTGTATTTTGTTCCAAGAAATGATAAATTTTAATTTATCTAATGAATTACTTTTGATATGCCGAGTGTTAACCATTCAACAAAACTTAAAATCACTCATTCAAGGACAAATTTACTACTGAGATAAATTCTAATAATATTTGTCCTGAAGGTTTAATCACTATCTAACAGGATTTCAAAAATATTAAACTATTTTGGATTCTCGAATACAACCCTCCGTCAACAGTTATTATTTGTATTCGTTTATGTTAAATAAAAAGAGAGTGCTTTTACCCTATACTTTACGTACAATTACGTTAATGTATTATGGTTCAGGTTTCTTAAGGTATATTTCATTTTCAACCATTATTTTATGCTCGTCACTGCAATATATCACCATAATTTTTTCTACTAAGTCTAACTGCATCAAGTCATCAAGAAAAGTCAAGTGCCATCCATAACCACTAGGTACTTACTTCTTGTAAGTCATTATTTTGTTCAATGTTTTAATCCTTTATAATCCTTATCATTAGTTATTTCTGATGTATTGTATTCTTGATTAAGATTCCTTTGTTAGAAAAAGGTTATCAACAAAACTGTTTCTGGGATATTTCAATATCACTCGAGTTGGGTAACATTTAATTCCATTTGTTGTTAGTAAAACTATGCCTTTTTATCAATGATTTTTTCTGTTCTGTAAAGTGAATCTTATGATAAATATTTTAATTTCATGTGAGACTACATAATAATCGTTAATTCAACTTCAATTAATATGATGATGGCTTGGGTTAAAAATCAACTTCATTGAAACGTATTGTGGTGTGTGCTACTAATGTCGACAGATATAAGTAGTATGTATCATCAATCGAAAGTGAAATGTCTGGAATCGCCCATGAGACATTGTACAGTTTTAATTGATATTAAACTAATATTTTTATAGTTTACCTAATTTTCTCATGACTGAAATAAATTTGAAATTACGAAATCAACATAAAACGAATTGAGATACATGAAAGTGACCAATTAATGAATAATAAATGCATTTTAAATTTATTTGTTCATTTCGCAAAAACACTGGGAAGTTATTAGATTATAGGAAAATGTATGTGAAACTTTTGGATAAATTTTACTATGAAAACTCTTTTAAATATAATTAGTTATCTAGAAAAACAAATTTATTCACCTTCACATCTTGAAAATTGAGATTTTCGTTTTAAACCTGATGGACATTCTTCTATTCGTATACAGCGAAATCCTCCGATATGATTCATACAAGTACTGTCGTAGGTGCAGTTATGCTTGTTTTCAGAGCATTCATCAATATCTGTTTTTAACAGAAAAAAATAACATTACTCAATATAGAAAATATTATTTTCATAGAATATATGAATTGTGACCAATAATGAAATCCAGTAAGAGCTTTTCGTCCTATTTGAGTGAACACAAGTCAAGTAACACTGATCAACAATTCATTTTAGCTTATCAATATTAGGATACTACGAATCCTTCCTAATAGCGGTGTAAAATATACTAGTTATAACTACTGATGTAAATAAATGTTTACTATAGTTGATGATTAAACATTCTCACTTATTAAAAATCATCATGTGTTTATGAGTGGATGAATACAAAAAAAGATTATTTGAAGTTCTGGTGTAAGCCCATGCTCTTATAAGTCAAAAAATTGAGTAGGGAGTTCGTAATTTATTATTCAAAATGCAATTTATTGGATTCCAGCTATATGACATAAATGTTTAATACATTCCACGAAAAAAATTTATGATCCTGACTGATGTATACAGTCAACAAAACTCACAGCACAAATAAACAGTTGTTTAATCCCTCTTAGTTTTTCAGTGATTATTTCAGTGACATTACTTTGCTATGAAAACCTTTTACATGATGCACACCTCTTTCAAGATAAACACACTCATTCTGAATGTAATCATTGCTTCTTTTTTCCATTGAACAAAATATTACAAACAATTTTTATTGCCTTTTGAAGATCGAATTTCGTTATGGAATATATATCAACAAATACCCAAAGACTTATATTCTTTTGACTTCAATAGTTCCATGGAGAATAAATCTTACGAATGGTTAAGCGAATTGTTTTTTTAAACCTACAATCATATTAGTAGTATCTCGAACCGTCAGTTTATCTATCTTATATATATTATTATAATATTATCCAACAATATGATTTCAGTATGACAAATTTTAAATTCCCAGAATATTTTCAAAATTCAGTCAACCATTTTGTTGTTTAAACCATACATTATAGTGAAAAGAATTGATCTAGAAGATTCTTATACTTACTACTAACAGTTGAAAGTAGAATAATTAGATTACATAAAATATCAATGCTTTTTTTAACAGATTTCATTCAGAAATAGTTACAAATAACCTCGTAACTAAATGTTTACATATTACAGTTTAAATAATAATTTTGATATGTATAATATACTCACCTACACATTCATTTTCAAGAATATGATATCCTTTCTCACAAGTACATTTTTTTTCCTGATAATCATATCTAAATAATAAATGGAAATGATATCGGTGGGATGGCAAATTAATAGTATTGAGATTATTGATTGAGAAATCAAACTGATAAATGTGTCAGTTTTCTACTTCAGCCATTTACTAATAGGACCAAAGATAATGTAATTTAAAGTTTTGCTTGTGAATGGTCTAAGACAATGGTCTAATGTATATAGACCATTTGCCAGATATGGTGTTCTATACTTTCTCTTAAATAACGAGATTTCAATAATTCAATAATTGAGAGACTTATACAATGTTGTATTTAAGACGGTTTTAAAAGCTAAATTTTAGTAAAAAAATATATGTTAAAGCTACATTTTATGCATTTATGAAGTCAAATTGAAACCAATAGTATATCTGTTGGTGATAATGAATGAAAAGTGTACCCCTTAGTAATAAACGTAAACTTTGTAATAATGACAATTAGTACAAGTGTACTAGGTAAGAGATGGTGAAGGGTTCTATTAATAGAAAGATTCACTTTTGGAAGCACTGAATGTCCGTCTCATCCTAGTATGGATTTTCTTAGCATTCATAATGCCACAACTCGGGACTCCAACCTACAACCTTCGGTTCGCGGGCGAATGCTTAATCTCCGATCTACTGAGCCAGTATCCAATGATGTTTATATCTAACGTCGATTGATCCATGATCCCAATACTGATAATAATCATGTGCTCAGTAGTGACTAGCTTCAAGATGAATTTCCTGGAGTTGTAGTGACAATCCGTGACCAGTAGAGTTCAATCCGTGTCGGGTGTGAGACAGTTACCTACATCAGATAATTGATGAAGGGTTGCGCAAGATCATGGATCGAATAAGGTTAGACATTAATACCCTTGGATGCCGGCTCAGTGGTCTGGAGAATAAGCATTCGCTCGCGAGACCAAAGGTTGTACGTTCGATTCGCGGGTGCGGGATTATGGATATGCACTGCCGAGAAATCTAATACTAGGACGAGACGGCGATTCAATGCCTCCAAGTCTTTAATGATGGTCTAGCTTAGATCGGCTTTTTAATTCATCTGTTTAAATACTACAATCTCCACCAATCATTATACTAAGAAAGGTTTTTCTTATTTTTTATTTAGAACGTCCTGATAAATGAATGTATGGTCAGATTTTTCAACATGAACTTCATGGAGGCACTATGTTCTTAAGAATAAAACTATCTTCGCGTTACATTAGTAATTCTTCAGTGCTAAAACCTAAATTATCTAAAATATACTTTGAAAGCAATCATGTACAATAACAGAAAACTTACATTTGAGTTACAGTACAATTGGATTCTGTACAGTAGTATGAACCTAGGGTGTTAACACATATTTTCCCATCATCACAGTGAAAACTTCTTTCCAAACATTCATCTATATCTAAAATAAAAAAACATCAAGGAACAGCCTAAATTTGTTTTGTTTAAAGTACTTTTAATAATTATGTTTACGTAATTAAAACTAGTATTTACCTTCTGATAATCCAATTATAGTACTGTATGATTTCCTAAAGATGAAGTTATTTTCATAAGTAAATTTTAGGTAGCTTTGATTCCACACTCATCCAAGTTAGACGTTTGTTCTTTCTCGCAAAGTTATTATCTAAATGACAGTTACTTAGAACTAATAGCTGAATGTGTTACTAAGAGGACATTTATTACTTCTAACATGGTTTTCAGTAAATAATTAATTATATTCAACAACTTGATGAAGATGCTCATTGTTCATTACTTCATATACCTTAAGAAATATTTCAAAAGTATAGACATATTTATACATAAATTTTTGCTTAAAATTCCGAACTAATCAAATATGAGAAAGTGACTTCATGTAACTTATAGGAAGACACTTAGATAGTAGGTACACGCTTAAGCTTGATCAAGCAGAAAGTTGTCTTCACCATCTTTAATTAGAAATAACATTATATAAGTACAAGAAAGTTAACTGATTATGTAGTTATTGATATAGAGGATAGCAGATACTTCTGTAGACAAAGAAGTATACATCAATAATTTAGACTGTGTAAAATGTTGTAGAGGCATAGTTATGGTTTTAATAAAAGATACAAAAGGAACAGAATTTTTTACTTAAGTGACGAAAATCTATAAGTCTGATATACTTTGGTTTTAAGGTTGAGAAACAGTATAAATCACGACAAACTCACTAACCATGAAAATTCATCATAGGTTTTAATGATTCCCTAGTTTTAAGTAATTTATTTTTATTTCAACTTTTTTGTGTACTTACAGACTAAAAAGTAAAATAAAAGCATCAATGTCACATTGTGAGTTACTCAGGTTTAGTAATAAAACATCGCTACACTGTGTTATTTAGTCTTTATTAGGCAGTGTTTGCATTTGGCATTTACTTATATCCTTTATTTTAAATAAAAAAAAGATGTAACAAATGAGTAGAAAGTTAAAATAGTAGAAATAAATAAGTGATAATAAGGAAACAACAGTTTCATGTTATTTTAATAGCTTACCTATGCATTCTGTACCATTGGCATTAATTCGCGTACCATGAGCACAATTTAATTTGGCTTCACATAAAAAGAAACCACGTTCGTTAATGCATTTCTCCCAAGATCTACATTTATTTGCTTGTTGACACTCATCAATATCTACAGAAAACAAAAGTTTATTAAAATTAATTTATGAAACTTGTACAATTTAATACGTATTCCTTTTAAAATTTATCATTTCCAGTGAGACGATTAATACTTGAGAATAAATGTGCTAATCAAGAATAATCCAGTTCTAAATCAGTCCGACCAATGAAATGTTAGACAAAACGATATTAGTACAATGATCAATCTTGAAAATTATAAATGAAATGATCATTCAGTAGTTTGTTTATAATGGAAATGAATTTTTAACATTTTGTTATTGCATAAAAATATCCGTCTCTTAGGAAATGAATATTGTTTACAAATGAACATGTGTTAAAGCAGTAGACAGAATTGACGTAATCGAAATGCTTATAAATGCAAACACGTCTAAGCATTCAAATAGCATGTCCATTACCGATGATCATTTGTGATATATATATATATATATATATATATATATATATATATATATATATATATATATATATATATATATATATATATTCTTTTTATATATTTTTTCCAGTAGTGTCTGTGTGTCTGTGAATAAATTTGAAGTTCACAGTAAATAGATGTACTGTTTTCATCATAAAATATTTGACAGCCAACGATCATTATTCATTCTAAACCTAAAATCATGACCTATTTATCAGTATAGGGTTGCGGAGATTGTTGAGTTTAAATTGATATCATTAGTGGATCAATGTTAAACCACTATTTTTATCTCAGTGGTTTAGAGACTAAGCGTTCGCGCGCGAGAGCAAGTGAGTGCGCTTTGCTGAGGAGTTCCATACAAGGACGAAACGGTCATCCAGTGTCTGACATTGATCCATTCAAGAACTATTTGTTCAATCAAAGCAATATGATGCAAGGGCTAATTTTCACAAGTGCATTGGAAAATTATACTTTTTTTCTTTTGCCTCTTTATGTGAACATGCTGTCAAAAAGTTAAATAATAGTTTAATACTAGTAAACTTTAAAGATTTGCGCAACCTTTAGGATTGTAGTTTGAAAAACTTACTAACTCAACTTTCATAGTTAATCACTTTATGGATGGAAAATGTGACCTTTTTACACTTCATTGTTTACTGTTATAGAGATTATACTGATAGTACAGATAATAGCGTATTGCTAATGTAATCACTGATATTTTTCAATTTCTGTCTGATTGTCAACTCATTTTTCAACTACTTCCTTACCATACAGAGCCACTTGTGACTGTTATTAAAATAAGTTTAATATGTAGTTTTTTGATAGCACTCACTGTATCATTGATACAGTTTTCCGATAAGTAAACTGGATAAGTTGATTATCAGCCTAATTTTTTGTTCTTTCTAGACGTAATGAAATTTTTGTTTCCAAATAACATCGATAACTCCGCCTGTAGCTCTTATAGGGTTGCTGACGGTCTCAAGCCCGGGTAAAGGAGGAGGGTAGGGCATGGGGTTAGCGTCCCCATCCCGTAGAAAACTAACTCGCTAAAAAAACGCTTGCCAGAAAAAATAATCCAAACCATTTCAACTCTGCTCTGGGAGTCAAGTCTTCATTTAGAAGAACTATGACGCCTCATGGTGAAAGCGAGTTCCTTCGGAAGCCACGAGGCCGATGCCCCTTCTAACAACCAGAGCAACAATTTTTATAGGTACATGGAACGTTCGAACAATGTGGGAAACCGGGAAGACCAGTCAAATAGCAATGGAAATGAGGAGATACAACTTAGCAGTACTGGGAATCAGCGAAACCCACCAGACCCAAGCTGGACAGAAAAGGCTAGCTACGGGAGAGATGCTGCTATACTCCGGTCACGAAGAGGACAATGCTCCACACACTCAGGGAGTCGCTCTTATGCTGTCCGAAGTAGCACGAAATGCACTTGTAGGATGGGAATCTCACGGATCCAGAATCATCAAAGCATCATTCAAAACAAAGAAGGAGGGGATCTTAATGAATATTATCCAATGTTATGCACCCACCAATGATAGCAACGACGACATTAAAGATCAATTCTACGAGCGGCTGCAGTCAATCATAGAGAAATGCTCAAGAAAGGACCTCACCATTCTGATGGGAGATCTAAATGCCAAGGTCGGAATAGACAACACTGGATATGAAGATATTATGGGACGACATGGACTGGGAGAAAGAAACGAAAATGGAGAAAGATTTGCAAATTTGTGTGCATTCAACAAATTGGTCATAGGAGGCACAATATTTCCACACGAGCGTATACACAAGGCTACATGGATCTCACCGGACCACACTACAGAGAACCAAATAGATCATATTTGCATCAACAACAAATTCCGAAGGACAATGGAAGATGTGAGAACCAGGAGAGGAGCTGACGTAGCTTCAGATCACCACCTAGTTGTAGCCAATTTGAAACTGAAGCTAAAAAAGAACTGGACAAGTGGACAAACAGCACTACAAAGGTTCAATACAGCCTTCCTTCGAGATACTGACAAACTCAATGAATTCAAGATAGCTCTCAACAACAGGTTCCAAGCCTTTCAAGATCTACTGAAGGAAGAAGAAACTACCATGGAGGACAACTGGAAAGGCATCAAAGAAAAATTGACTTCAACGTGTCAAGAGGTTCTGGGTCTAAAGAAACACCATCATAAGGAATGGATCTCTATAGAAACACTGGATAAGATCAAAGAAAGGAAGAACAAGAAGACAGCAATTAACAACGGCCGAACACGAGCAGAGAAAGTCCAAGCACAAGCTGAATACATAGAAGCAAACAAGCAAGTGAAGAGAAGCATTAGAGCCGACAAGAAGAAATACGTTGAAGAACTAGCAACGACGGCAGAAAAAGCTGCTAGAGAAGGAAACATGAAACAGCTTTACGATACAACGAAGAAACTATCAGGGAAATACAGTAAACCAGAGAGGCCGGTCAAAGACAAAGAAGGCAAGCCAATCACTGAAATTCAACAACAGCGAAACAGATGGGTAGAATACTTCGAGGAACTCCTGAATAGGCCGGCTCCAATGAATCCACCGAACATCGAAGCAGCACACACAGATCTTCCTATAGAGGTCAACCCACCAACGACGGAAGAAATTAGAATGGCCGTCAGACAAATCAAGAACGGGAAAGCAGCAGGACCCGACAACATACCAGCTGAAGCACTGAAGCCAGACATCGAAGCAACCACAAGCATGCTTTATCTTCTATTCAAAAAGATTTGGGAGGAGGAACAAGTGCCAATGGACTGGAAAGAAGGACACCTCGTCAAGATTCCAAAGAAAGGAGATCTGAGCAAATGTGAAAACTACAGAGGCATTACACTACTGTCAATACCAGGGAAAGTCTTCAACAGAGTGTTGCTGAACCGGATGAAGGATGCAGTAGACGCCCAACTTCGAGATCAACAAGCTGGATTCCGAAAGGATCGGTCGTGCACAGACCAAATTGCAACACTACGGATCATCGTCGAACAATCAGTTGAGTGGAACTCATCACTATACATCAACTTCATTGATTATGAAAAGGCATTCGACAGTGTAGACAGGAGGACGTTATGGAAACTTCTTCGACACTACGGAGTTCCTGAGAAGATTGTCAATATAATCCGGAACTCATACGACGGACTACAGTGCAAGGTCGTGCATGGAGGACAGCTGACAGATGCATTCCAAGTAAGGACCGGAGTCAGACAAGGCTGTTTACTCTCTCCCTTCCTCTTTCTCCTGGTGGTCGACTGGATTATGAAGACCTCAACATCTGAAGGAAAACACGGAATACAATGGACAGCTCAGAATCAATTAGACGATTTGGACTTCGCAGATGACCTAGCCCTCCTATCACGTACACACGAACAGATGCAGATGAAGACAGCCAGTGTAGCAGCAGTCTCTGCATCAGTAGGCCTCAGCATACACAAAGGGAAAACTAAGGTCCTCAAATACAACATGGAGAACAGCAATCCAATCACTCTTGATGGCGAAACTCTGGAAGATGTAGAATCCTTCACATATCTGGGAAGCATCATCGATGAACAAGGAGGATCCGATGCAGACGTAAAGGCGAGGATCGGCAAAGCAAGGGTCGCATTCCTACAATTGAAGAACATATGGAACTCAAAACAACTTTCAACCAATGTCAAAGTGAGAATCTTCAATACGAATGTCAAGGCAGTTCTACTGTATGGAGCTGAAACTTGGAGAACTACAACAACCACAATCAAGAAAGTACAAGTATTTATAAATAGCTGTCTTCGCAAGATACTCAACATCCATTGGCCGGATACCATCAGCAACAGCCTTCTGTGGGAGAGAACAAACCAACTTCCAGCTGAAGAAGAAATTAGGAAAAGACGATGGAAATGGATAGGACATACACTACGCAAATCCTCAAACTGCATCACGAGGCAAGCCCTAACTTGGAATCCTGAGGGGAAGCGAAAAAGAGGAAGGCCAAAGAACACATTGCGTCGGATAATAGAAGCAGATGTGAAAACGATGAATCACAACTGGACGGAGCTAGAAAGGATTGCCCAGGACAGGGTTAGATGGAGAATGCTGGTGAGCGGCCTATGCTCCTTCACGAGGAGTAACAGGCGTAAGTAAGTAAGTAAATAACATCGATAAGTCTTAGGTTGTAAACCTTCTGATCAATAAAGCAAGGGCTATTTGGACTTTTATTCATACTTTCACGGTAATTGAAAGTGATTTCCGTAAACTAGGACTAATTTGCAGTTTACTTACTCACTATTTTATTTACATTACCCATTACCATCAGTGAGGTTTAGTACAATCAGGTGACTTTATAAAATACTGTTACATTAAAAGTTAGAGAAAGTGTTCATGTACGATGTTTATACAATTTAAAACAATTTCCACTATGAACTGATAGTGGACGGAGAGCGATTAGAATTTACTTTAAAATAAGTAACAGTTATAATAACAGATTTCAAATTTCTGAGAATTATTTAGATATTTACAGTTTCACTTTTAGTATCATCGAAAGTTTGTATAGATTCTTTTGATTTGAATTTTCTTGATATAACAAACTGACACCAGCTTAAGAAATGGTGAAAGAGTGAGTTTAGTAAAGTTTTCATCTTAATCCAAGACTCACTGGGTGTATACTCACATGCTGATATCATAATGAATGCACATCTTTCGTAGGCCTTTTCCTATTGTTTTATAGCTTTCAACGGTCTATCGGCTAATGCCAAGCTTCAAGTTACTACTCATTGATTCATAAAGCAGATGATACATGACATATAGATATTTATTTAAAGTAAAATGAAGCCAATATCCATCTACAAATATCTCAATTTTCCCACTATTTATGTTCAGGACTGAATTCGGACCAGTCACTTTCGGCGTATATGCATCAATAATACAGTGCTCCGATTTAGATAATAAATCACTAATACATAAGTAAGCATATATAGTGGCCAGCATTGAAATCCGTGAATTTTCTCCTATTTTGGGATCATTAGCTGGATATACCTGCATTCCAATGTTAATATTCACACATGGACCCTTAACTTAATACATTTCGCTTCAAATACCTGATACATTATGAAGACTGAAATTTAAGTACATGCAGTTGAGATGTCGTAAATGGAGGGATAAGCGCATCCTGCTTTCCACTGCTTGACACTATTCATCTCTACTTGAATAAAGACAGTTCAGAGAAAAATATTTCTTTTCAACAATATATTTTCTTCGATATATTGCATTTATTTTAATCGGTCACACAATGTATTACTTTCGGTATTTATTATGTTTAAGAAAACAATTTGTTGTTTTAGCACCATCTCATATGTTCATGGAATATGAATTACTTAAATGTACAGATGAATACATTTGTTAACCATAGTAAAATAGTACAGCACAAATTATTTTTAAAAAAAGACAATGTTTATGCGCTAAAAAAATGATTCACATAACTTATCGACTTTCATATGGAATCCTAAGGAAACAAATATATATTACTATTACTATAATCTATATATTGTATTAATTCGCTTTTTGCTTTACATTTGACTTACATAATTCTTGCATTCTCCGATATTTAATTCTATAAAATGTGTGAAAATCTTACAAACAGAATGTTAACATTTATGATTTGGCATATATTTATGCCAACATCTATTCTATTATAATAATTATAATTACAATCTATTTACTATAGTGTTTTATACATTTATGTTTTTAGAGTAAAGATTACTGTTTTAATAAATCGTTTTCTTTTCTAGTTTCCTAAATCGCATTAATTGATTTATCATATTTATATTTTCAATGATTTAACTTTTAGCTCAGTTAGTAAAAAAAACAACAATAAACAAACAAATGAATAATAATCATTCGAATTATGTTAGTCAGTCAGCTACAATATAGGACCAAGTACATATATGCATCGGTCCAAGTTGCTATACCTCATTAACACAACAAGATGGACATCGGATTCGTAAAAGTAGTTAATTCAGAGGTGGTAATATATAAAAGAAAGATTGCAATAAGGATATAGTACAGGAAGAAAGAATTAGTTCGTGGAAAGAAAGTTGTAAAGCAATTTTAGTCTTACAATTTGAGGGAAGACAAAGTGTGTATACACCTACGATATTGTGATCGGTTCTGAGCCATGTCACCCAAGTTCTCCAACCATTGGTTATGATAGTCACACGGACCCAACCGAATAGTCCACAATTACCAACATGGCTCAGACCAGAAGTTAATGATTTCAAGCATACACGCCACGTTTTGGTTTGGCCGCCCGAATTATATGATGATCAAAATGTGTTAGATTATTGTAAATATAAAAGATTCTTATTGATTAAACAATCATTAGATGGTCAAAACATGTACTGGAAATTCATTAGCCCCACGGCAATTTTTTTAACCCCCCCCCACCCTTTTTAAAAATGTTTTTTCAACCCAAAATTGCAATATTTTTCATCCCGTTTCGTCCAATGTAATGGCTAGTTTCAAAATTCGTTTTAATTGGTTAGTTATGTTTTGTCGAATTGTTATAAAACATCAGCACTTGTCGACGAAGTACATTTTAATCATCATTATGGAGGAGAGTGACGTGCCGAGTACAAGTGCTGTTGTTTCTCACGTAACAGAAATGGAGGAAGTCCTTTTGACAACCTTGTTTCTCGTCGCGTTCCCATCGGTTGAAGCGTTGAAGTCCGCTATCACAAATTATGAAAGATCAACTTACTGTCATTAAGTAGTTCGAGATTCGCATTTGCGCAGAAATGAAGTTCTTAATTTGAAGTTCTTAATTTCCGTGAGCTTAATGTCAACCCATGTACTGCGTGAATATATTTGTAAATAATTAAATATTTACAACAAATCAAAATTGTTAACCACTCATATACACAAAAATAATAAAGATACATGATCTAATTGGCATAATAATAAGTGCACTTTTATTTAGTTACAGGTTTTAAATAAAAATGTAACCAATATTAGTTTGTTCAATGTATAATAATGATTATTAAATACTTGTTTTACATTAAACTTAAACCTAATAGTTTAACTTCAATGTTATGGTTATCGAAGTAGGTATGAAGATGCTTATAGGTTACAGTAAATTATTAAAATACTAAAAGTGTTTGGGTGAACAATCAGTCTAAATGATTTCATTTACAAACTGTACAGCATTAAATCTATAAACTTTGCATTTTAGTAGCCAATATGAAGCATATATGAAAACTTATGATAAAATTAGTCAGTTCCACAATAAAAATAATAGTGTTCACATTTTTTATGACATAAATACTTACAAAACCTGATTATAAAGTTGGAATATAATGTCAAAGATGAGCTAGAATTACACTGGAAGATGACAAATTATAATCGATAGGGTAAGATTACTTCAATATAATGCTAAGGTTAGTAGTTGCAGAAAAACAGGATCTTATGGATTAACTAAGGTGCCTTCTAAATTAGGCATTTCTCATAAATGAGTAACATAACCTATCTGATTGGAAAAGAGATGAAACTATTATGAATCTTGACAAGTGTGAAGGGTTTCAGTTACCTTTGGGGACTGTTATCTTTCATCCTGGACGTAAACTAGAAGGAGTTTCTTCTGTCTTCACTAGTCTACAGACATACTGCTATTAAACCTGATGATGAAATAAGTTGAAACATTTCTTTCTGAAGCATTCACTCTTTTGTTCATAGCCACTTACCAGAATATAAACTACTCAGACACTGAAGAATAACAGATCAAAACTTCTACTTAAGTGTGTCTAACCTTATCGTGAAAGTAGTATATAAGACTATCAATGGAATGAAAAACATTGGTAACAACGTAATTTGCTTTTAAAAATGAATTATGTATACTTTGCGCCAGTTCTATTATCCAGAATAACGTATTTTGTATGCAAACCTAATGCATTCATTTAGGATTTTCGAGTCACAGTTTACGGTTCATATATATATATATATATATGACCATTATGGAACATACAGAAAAGATTCATCAGATAGCATAGTCACACCCTATCAACACAGAGAGATAAGGCTGACAAGAGTTTATAACTACTAAGAGTTATCGTATACATAAGCTAATATTGTATCTTAGTTTAGCCTCCACTAGTTTGCCTACTTACTATCTACTTCCAGACTAGCTAATATTACATGTCGCGCACTTAAGTATATGCACATTTCACATTTAATTCTGTTGAAATTTACATTAGAAAAGTATTGCTAGAGAATAGTATATATTACATTGGTGTTGACTGTCTTTAATTACTATCAATCGTTTTTATATAGTATCATGGCTCAGATATTGTACAGTGTGAGGATCACTGTGGTTCATGTATTATTTAAAGATTTTTTGTTCGACACTACTAACTTATAATCTCAAAATGAAAGCTATTAAAACTATACAAATTATGTACAATATATATCTTTTTCGTTTGAACTACTGTTAAGACACATTGACTTTTTACCTAATAATTGTATATTAAACAAATTAGTACGTACCATCGCATACTCCGCTTGAGGCATTGTATACATATCCTGTAGGACATGGAACGCAATCACCAATTTTGTTTCGTCTGTATTTTAGTGTTTTCAAAAGAGAAGATTTGAAGGAATGTATTAATAATAAAAACGCGAAAATACAATTAGGAATATAATTTTTGAAAATACGTTTAAAATTCACTGACCTAATATACCAATAAGAACATGTTTAAAATAATTCTTAAACACAGTTTAGCTTAATATTTCTTTATTATTCATGAGACATTCTTTTAATCAGCAACAACCTTCATTCTGACTAAAACAGAGGCAGTACAATGCACTATACTATGGTACAGTAACACAGTTATGACTTGAAATGCGGTCGGCTGTTAAGACGTATTTTCGTGGACCATTTATAGCCTAACAAAACTAACATTTTACAATGGCTTACGTTGTAATTAATTTTCAATCCTGTTAGTTTCCAAGTTTAATATTTTGTATGTGCCACTGTATTTCCAGGTCAGCTGTTTTGTTTCTTAATACTCATTATTCTTGGGACTATGTTTCTTAATTTTTCAACTAAGGACAAGTTTCATTAATGTAAAAACAATCTAAATAACTATATATTATATATAAATATATACCAGCATACTTTGCATTTCCAGGGCAATGATAATCAACGCATTTATGACCTCCACGAACATTTATGCATGCCATACCTTTACCGCATATAAGTGGATCGACTTTACATTCATCAACATCTAAGGATAGAAAAATATTTGCACAAATATAAATGGGGGGAAAACAATGAGGCTGTTAAAGAATAATGTAAAAAGCTATCGGTAGAAAATAATGTTTCTGGCGATTTTCCTATTCGAAGATAGTTCTCCTGGTGTGATCCCACTCTAGAACGTAGGTGCAGACAGATAATCATTCCAGATCTACTAAAAACAGTTGTCTACTGCTCATTCATTTTCATCGGTTGTCTAGTTTACATCAAGGGCTGAAGTAAAATATTTTCAACGAAAATATACAGAAGTCTAACTGTTCCTAACACAATAACTGCTTGGTTAAGAAACCATTCAATCAAAAGGAATATTGTCGGTAAATAGATTCAAGAACATATTATGAATCGTAAGAATTTCTATTTTCTTGTTGTAAATATTTATCATTCAATTGAACAGTCTTTGTCGATATTATTGGATCCTTTAACAGATCTGTCAATGTTATCTGTAATTACAAATCGGTTATATTCTTAATGGTACCAAATGATGGAAGCCACGGGATAGGATTTATTTTATTTGGGATCTGTTAGTCAAGCGTACTTGTTTTTCAGTATTATTATTAACAATTCAAATTGAACTTAGTACCAGTAGAGTTAGGTTCACAACTAGTCATGAATCACATTTTCTGTCTATGCTACATAAACGCTGAAGAGGCCTTCAGTCTAAATTTATGGAGTGAACGAATAAATAACATACTGATGCGATAGTTTATCATTATTCACTAGGCTGTTGAAATATCTATTACAAAAATCAATACGAATAATCAGTCTTCATTTTTATTGTTTCCTAAAAAACAAAAAAGTACTTTTTCGGATGGATATTAAGTAAAATTGTGAAAAAGCACTTATTAGGAGCATGTTTTTCCCAATTCTTACCTTCACATTGTTGAGTTCTAGGATTTAATACATAACCGTAACCACATGGGACCTCACGAATACACTGATATGAACCAATTAAATTTCGACATTGTTGACCAGCAAGGCAAGGATTGTACAATGATGTGCATTCATTAATATCTAATTCAATTTAATGATAAAATTTATTTTTATTTTAAAAATAAATGCTAAGTTATTGAACACTTATTATATTACATAAATAGAAAATAATTACCATGACATTAATAGATATTAATTTAGAATTACCAGGAAAGAACTAAACCTTTTTGTCTGTTGTCATTTCGATAATCCAATGAGAGGACGAAGTTTATCAGGATTATGTGATATACTTGCACATTACATTTCCAACAATCTGATTACACATATAATTGTTAAGAAATTTTTATAAGAAAATTAAAAGGTTAACTAGACAGGTTCAAGGTAAGCCATAACAAAGAAAAAAAATAAAGTACACGAAAACAATGAGATAATCACTCTGGATAATAAATCAGTATTACCAGGGTATTGTCAAGGATAAGGACAAATTGCTTTTGAACGCATAAAGAGGGTTTCAATTTCCTTATAATCAAGGCTTCAATAAACCTTAGTATATGTCCTTGAATGCTTTTGTACAACACTACAAGTACTGACTTCATGTCAACCTTATAACTAGTCTCAATCAAATGTTTCCTAATAGAGGATGATGTCTGTCTATCCTATGATCTTATTTGACCATTGGAATTCATTTGTTTCTGCAGCCATTTTTGGTATGTGTTCACCCACCCTTAATTGCAAATCATGATTGCTGCTCCCTATGTACGTGTTTCCGCACATACATGTAAACTGTCATTTCATTCAATTTTTTTTTATAATTTCAAAATTAGATATTTATTTGGAATAAAAGAAAAAAATTAGTTAAATTTTCAAAAAGAAACGCAACTATCTTTTTGAATACTGAATTCAAATCTAATCTCTTATAAAATATACCTTCCTCTTGAAGTTAGTTTATTCTAGTTATAAAAATATAGTTAATTAAAATATTTTCTATTAAATTGCAAATTTGTGAAGCTTAATTTATAAAATAAAAAGAAGTAGAAGTGAATACAGCAATTTGATTTAAAACTGTCAAATTACATAAAAATATTGACAATTAAACAAGGAAAACTACAATGTCAATGTTTATGATATTTTTCTTTGTTATAGTTGTTATAGAAATAAAGCGTTTAAATAGAATATTTGAATTTCAGGCTTTAAAAAGATTAAATTTTTAACTGAAAAAACATAGTATCCAAGTGAAAAATTATTTTTTTCAAAATTTAATTTAAACGAGTTAGGTTTTTAAATTTTAAATGAAATTTTTATTTATTTACTGTTACCTTTTATGACAGTTAAATAACATAGAAGTTAAATAATATAAAACATTGATAACCATGATAAATAGTATGTTATTTGATAAATTTTCAATTTTGTTTTAAAATCACTAACTGAATGCACTTCTATACAGGAATGAGATTTCATTCTTTAATATTTATGATCAAAGTAGACATGTATTAATCCAGTAACTAATGAATATGGATTAATCAAATGGTAGAAAATCAGACAAATATCATGTTTCAATAGTTGAGATCATGAGTCAATTGAAGCTAGACCATCATAGAAAACCTGGAAGCACAGGACGGCTGTTTCGTTCCTTTGTAGTACGCCTCAGTAGTGCCCACCCACGATCCCGCCTAGCGAGATTCGAACCCAGGACTTTTCAGTCTCGCGCGCGAGCACTTAACCACTGGACCGCTGAACCAGCATCTAATGCTGTTAATGTCTAACTTCGACTAATCCACGAAATTGAGTGACATATTGTTGGGACGGTATATCCCCAAAATTCATATTTGTAATTTTATCATATTGATTAACTTATCGATTAAATATTTAAATATTTGAATGGAAGTCAAATGATGAACTTATAGATTAAATATTTGAATGCCTGTCGATTGATGAATTTAATGAGTCATGTTTAAAAAACATTTTACTATGACAATATCGATTATATATATATATATATATATATATATATATATATATATATATATATATATATATATATATATATATATATATATATATATATATATATATATATATATATATATATACGTTTTAAATTGTGTTTGAGTGCTCGCTTGCTTGCTCGTTTTCTGGCTGTTTGCAGAATATATTTTCCATACCAAGCTCGGACTTCTCCTTCTAGATGGCGGGGCTGGGACGCATCAATAGTTAGATTACTGGTCTTTGGTCACTGAGTCTTGTTCTCGTTCGCAGATTAAGTGAACTCGTAAAGCTTCAAACCTAACACATATCCACCATTATCATCAGTGAGTCACTATCTCACAACAGACCCGGTTTAACTCCACTGGTCACTTCTTCTCACTAGAACTCCAAGATATACATCTCGAAGTCCGTCATTAGTGAGCAGATGTTGATTAGTATCAGAAAGGGTTTTGTGGAGATTTTAGTAATTTCAATAGTTGAGATCATGAGTCAGTTGAAGCTAGACCACCGTGGGATACCTGTTGTAATTTGCGATAGCATTGTTTGAGGGATTTATTCGGTGGATATAAAATAACCTTAAGCTGTTTAAAATGGATACTGTAAATGATAATGATGTGAGTGAGGGAAATATTCTATACAGGAGATAAATTTTGTCTAAATGTTAGAAGATTATAGAATAAGAAAAAGATAGCACTGATGAAATAGATACTAACTAAATATGGAATCATGGTAAAGCACGAAATAAACACAACTTAAAGCCACCAACATATATTACAAAGTGTCTGACCAAAGGTTATACAAAACAATATATAAAGATATTATAAAGACTGAACCATATCACATATAAGCGTCTTCTGGAAGACTTATTTCAACTCATTCATCATATTGAAATTAATACGACAAATCATTGTGTGTGATACAATGAACGAAAGATTTTCTATAACAATATGAATGAAATAGTGTATTTTTTCAGAGAATAATCGTTCATATTATGACTGAACTGAATGAATTCTCTATAAAAAACATGTTGATGAACTCAGTATTATGATATTAACGTTCATCAAAATATTTTTTACGACTGAGTGATTTTTTTACACTTGATCATGCGGTTTAAATTCTTCTGGAAAAGAAATATTATTTACTTTGAGTGTAAACTACTAGCACTTCAATGTGTCTTGGAGATAACTTTATTTGAATGAATTACTTACAAATAGGTTTGATTTGCTTAGACCTTGTTTTCTGCATCTATTAGCTATTAGTAAAATCATAATGATCTCTTCATTGATAAAATCAATAAAACTATCCAGCTGTAAGAAAATTCTAATGAATAATCAGCACTCACTAGTTCGTTAGAAAGTACATTCGGAGTCAATTCTATCCAAATATTTCCTCGAAACAATTTCACTTAAGCAATATGTAATATGGTCAATCGTGTCTTTGTTTTTCTCATTTATCCATAGTTGGCTTTTGTTGACAGATTGATATCAATTAATTATTTATTAACAATAATATTATTATCTATCTGCCCTATACACTGACGACTCCTCATGTGATCAAATTTAGAATGCACGAGGATAACATGAAGCACAATATCACTCAGTCATCGAATTGGAATCCAATGGATTGAACTTTGAACTTTAACCAAATGATGATACAGAGTGATCCTAACATAACCTCGCCAGTGTGATATTATCACAATATTGTGCATTCTTCGGGTCACGGCTTAAAATAATAGCTTTAGAATATGTGTTTGGCGACTAGTCGCCACTGAAAATGCTTACAAACATAACATATTTGCTTTGGTCAATAAATTCTAACAGAATATAGAATTTTGTGATTTACGCAATTGGCTGATTGTATCTTGACAACTAATGCAGATCAAGGTTATATATATGTCTATATAAATTTATTATACAGTACTTCAAAACTTTTCCTTAAAACAGCACACTAACCGATAGTTTGTCAAATTTATAAGTAAACCGAATATGCGACATACCAACACAGGTCCCATCTGATGCCATTGAAAATCCAGAAATACATGAACAATTGTAGGATCCAGGTAAATTTTCACACATTGTTCCTTCACCTTCACATGGTAATCTACCTGAGCTGAGACCTTCCATACATTCATTTATGTCTATTTAAACAATGTGTTTAAATAAAATAGAAATAGAAGTTTTAAGAATATTATTTATGATTCTTAACGTAAATTTCATACAATTTTATTATGATTCGAAACATGGAAAAATAATTTATTCAAAATGTTTTCTTTATTTTTTACGTCTACAAAAAAAATTTGCATGTGTGAACATGAACTCAGTATAATTTTACCTGATGAATATTTGAGTAATATACTACAGACGAACATGGCAAATCCATTGATCGTGATTACTCTGTCAGAAGACACATCATTGACTGTTCACTCTATGTGTTGTTTTAAAACGATGTATAACCACTAAACAAACATTGAATAATGTTACATTAGGAAACAAATGTTTCTGTTAAAGACTGAGTCATTTAACTCTTTAAAGTATTTAATCAATATAATCACATATGAACTAAATAATGTATAAACCTCAATACACTATCATATTTATTGAGAGTCACATACGGTTTAATTAACTGATGACTATCGGATGTAAATAAGATGTAGATTTTCATACACGAAATATCCGGGCACGATGTTATGTACAACTGATTGATCACTGGGTGGTGATCAATTTCATGTATGTCAGATCCCTCTTAGTGCGGATTGAATCTTATCGAAAAAGTTGCAATATGCACTAGTCTAGGTGACTCAAAATTGCGTGCACTATGTTAAGATAAGATGGTGGTTGGAAGTGGTCAACAAGAAATCCTGTTTTTGACATAGAATTCGTACTATTTGGCACCGGTAAGCAAGGCGTACTTGTAATCTTGAGGGAACTGATACTCCCTGACGGATTGAATCCCATATCACCCAGCTTCATAGTCGGAAACGTTACCACTGATCTATCCGGGCCACGACTGATCTCTTGTATGACTGAGATGTATTTATAATTGATTGATGATCAATGTCATGTATGTCAGTTTCTTCTTAGTGCAGATCGAATCCTATCGACTAGAGTTTGCTGGTGACCACCTTCAACCACCATCTTACAATGTTATATAATATAGCATATAAGGCTAAAAGAACTTTTTCGAAAACGTTTTATCAAATAGTATGTGTTTGGGAATGTCACGACTTGCAAATTCATAAACTTTTTGACATAAAAGTCACTTATCGCTTGTAGTCACTCGAAATGAATATCGAACGTAATATTGAATATTTTTTATAGATATAGTTTGCTTGGTCTTAAACAGTAAGACGAACTGATCAAAAACCCCTTACAATACACTTAGCTGACTTTACATATTCATTAGGTAAATTATCTAGGACTGTAGGGGAAATAAAAGTTCCTAATTAATTGAGTAGCATACTAGGTATTGCTACAAGAAGAGGTAACACATCTGGCCCTGATAACGTATCTGCTATCATGTTACTTACTACTAAACTTAGTTCTCGTTATATGACTGGATATTGCCTTGTACTGTAATAGATATTCAGTAATTAGAAGTTGTCATCAGAAAACCATGGGTTTAGTTTTAGTCCTATCAGAAATACGTTTCCGACGATGAATTTTATTCGCAAAGCTCTACAAATTACAATATGAAGTTAGTTGTAGCCTCCATTAGCACGGATAATAAATGACTATACATTCGTAAGTTCTCCGCAAAAGCTGTCTCATCATTTTCAGAACTACTGCTTTACAATGTGGTCACGTATAAATAGAAACGTTATTCACACCAAGGCAAAAGATCTTTAGGACATCGACAGTGATAACATTCATTCTCCTGTAAACCAAATCTTTTTTAAGTTTCTTACGACTTACCTACACATTCATCTCGCGTACTGGATAACTTGTAACCTATAGGACAATCTGATTTATCTGTTGATTCAAGAACACACTTCCTTGTTTCTTTATTAAGATACATTCCTACTGGACATGAGAACATTAGTCGAACACACAACTGTTGTTTGCTATCCCAAACAAAATTTTCTTGACATTGTATAGTTTCCAACTGACTAACTTCTTTTAAGCTAGTAGGAGTTGTTTCGTTTGACAATTTGGTGGTTATGGTATGGTTGCTGGTTGCCAAAGTACTCGCAGAGGTAGGAGTAGACGTAGTAGCCGTGGTGGCAGTAACCGTTGTCCCCGGTGTAGACTCCACAGAAATAATAGAAGTGGCATCAGTGGACGTATCAGTTTTTGAAGGAAGATTGGTAGAAGGAGTAGATGCTGTAACTAGATCAGCAGTGTGGTTATTTATAGTTTTGTTGGTTAGTGATGTATTATCAATATCTGTTTCTTCCCAAATATCTGGTAAATCTATGCCACCAACAAGACTGAACGAAAAGTCATCTTCGTCGTCTACTATTTGCTTTTTTGTTGTGGTTGTACTTGTAGTCATTTCCACTGATTTTTCCGTTGTAATTGGTGTAGACGAAGTGGTCATCAACATAGCAATTTCTTCAGTAGTAGTTAAATATTCCGTTATAATTCTATGAACATTAGGATCGTCAGACATGATCATTGATGATTTGGATGAAGTTGTATTACCTTCCATTAATACTAAATATTTATTTGAATGAAGGAACAAAAGGAAATAAACTGAATAACTTCTGGAGCATTTATTAAATTATTCCACCATAACTAAATTTCATTCAAATAAGAGTAAAATCTATTCGAACAGAATTGTAGACAATACTTTTATCTTATTTGAAGATATTATGGTTGAGTTCAACTACATCTAGAATTTGCGAGATATCATTGTCTGTGTAGATGATTGTAGCGCAACTATACCAACTAAATGAAGGTATTTATTTATTTATTTATTTGAACACATGAATATTGGTACAAGAGAGCGCCAATATATATGCGCCACAGGTGGAGATATGAGTAGTTGTATTCTCATTTCATAGTTCAGTTTTATTGTACTGATAGCAGCAAATAACGATTCTTATTTTTAACGCTGGATAAATGATGCATATTCCTGAGGAGTCCCAAACTACTACGCAATAATTATCCAGTGCTCTTTGATTTCAATGATTATCTATTTGATATTAGATCTGAACATAAGATAATGTTGAAAATGTTGTGCGTCTTAGTTTACAATGGTTGTCTTTATGTTAAAAACAATCGCCGTCTTTAAGAAATCTGTTCCTATAATCATTGGATTATTAGGTAGATGTTTTGCAAGCCTACTAAAGTTTCAGTCTAATTCGGTCGTAAGTTTTACTCCTCCTCCTTCATGTAGATGAGAAATGTATTACAAAAATGATAGAACATTACATCAATCAAAATGATTCAAAAATCAAGTGGTGTAATATAGGATGTAGTTTTTTTCAATGTTTACAAAGAAACGTTTCCAATTTAGAATATACTGGACTTACTCTTATTAAGAAAATTACAACAATTTCCATTGGGGCAAACACTTTGTACAGACTCTGGATTATCTTTGAATAAGTTATTTTCATTTATTAAACTTTTACGCCATATTAACTGGCATAGACAACATTCCTGGAGAATAAAAACTTAATATTATTCATGAATTTAAATAAATATATCAGAGTGAAATAAGGAAATGTCATAATTTAACCCTAAAACACCAATAACTGATCAAAAATAGCCTGAAAATTTCGACTTTATTAAACTACCTTAAGAACACTAAAGCAAAATGTTTTTAGTCTGGTCGTAAACAAAACATTTCACAGATTTTGATATAATAATCATGAAATTCTGTTCAATAATCGATTGGTGTACATCAAACATAGGTCCAACCATTATTTGATAGTATTCAACTTCTGTGTTTCTCTTTAACAGATTGTTTAAAGTTATTAGTTTAATGACTGTATAGTTTAATTATTCGACGACACTATAATTTATGGACGAACCAATCAGATTTGAGATAACAGGTCTCGGATTTTAGCACAAAATTCATCCACTCATTTGGCAAAGTACTATTTCGGCATTATAGCTGATGTCAGTTCGTGATGAAAACAACAAAATCTAGTTCCTAATCCTAACCATAAACTGTAAATCATAATTCTAGTTCTTTACATAAGTAGTTATTAGTTACCAATATACTCTTTATACACACTATTTTCAAGTCATACAATGCTCTATAATACTGAAATAAACTACAATTAAATTATTTAGATCATGAACCGATAAATTTCAGATCACCATTGATAACCTGTAAGCACTGAATGGTCAGTTCGTCTTAGTGTGGATCTCCCCAAAATTGCGCATCCACCATCTAGTATATGGGATTCGAACCCAGGATATTCGGTCTTACATGTGGACGCTTAACCTCTAAACCACTGATCCGTCCTCCAATAGTTTTGATGTTTATTTTGAACCAATTCACGATATTGCACGACCACCTTCCATTGTTTTCGGTGAGTAACTACCTTATATCCAGCATGGTAGTCTAACATTTGTCGGTTCATGATTTCAATTAAAACTGAACAAACTCCACAACCATATACTTATAATTAAATTAGTAAATACAACCTTAGATTATAAAATTTGAAAAATACTCCAAATGAAGTAGTACTAGGTATTTTTGAAGAGACATTAAAATGTCATGGCATGTTCGGTTTAGTACATAATAGCAAAGCTATCCTGTATGTTCAATCACAATGAATAATTTTAATGTTAACTAGTTATTTGTTTTTAATCAGCTCACGACAGTTCGTATTCCGATGTTTTGTGTATACGGCTATGTGATTACTAAGCAGATCAACCCGGATATCTTTTTTTCCTAATTTATACCAATTTATTTTAATTAAGAGCTATAAAGATTGATCAACTGACAATTGAAATCTAGTCAGTATTATGAAAGAGATGATCAATGTCAGGAGTTGTATAATATTCTATCTAAAGTCTGTGCTAATAATATTGTTCAGAAAAACAATAAAAGCTCCACAACCAAACCATCTAACTCGGAGAATAAAACTCCACCTAAAAATTTTATCAATATATAAGAACTCTCACTTTAAGAATAGCATGTTTAACTTACCCGAGCGATTGGTGTTAATCTCTTGTCAATTAAATGATTAAACTCACCAATCGAACAATTATTTGAATTAGATTTAATAACATGATCTGAACCAATTTGACAAGCTTTTAATCTTCTAGCTGATAAACAACAGAAATGTTGAACACGTTGACACCAAAAATGATTTGAAGATAAATTTTCAGCATCCTAATTTTAGTATTTTTTTTAAATAGTAAAACAAAACATGTTTTATAGCAGATGAAAATCTAATCTAATTTACAGTAGTTGTTTGTTTAATACGAAACAATGTATCATTTGACAGAAAACTTTTAAAGCCATTACCCTTGTAAGAGTATTTCATACATTTTGCAGAGTTGCCATATTTAGCACATTATTGTGTACTAAGATATATGCTCTCTGAGAAAAATTGATTGATTCGTTTTGATTTGGACATTATTGAATACAAATAACAATAGAATAGTTTTAAAATTAATGGATTACACATTGTTTATCGGTTGCGTTCAATGAACGCTTTTCTTAGGATCAGTATCAATCACTCAAAAATATATAATTTACTAAATAATGAGGGATATTAAGAATTTCACACTAAAGTTCTATGCTTAATTAGATATCTTAATTTTTGGAATAAATAGTCGTTTTGATAATGAATACAGTTTGGTGAGCTTGTTTTGAACTTTAACAATGATAATTTGGTGGTTGGAAGTAGTCAACAAGAAACTCTGTTTTTGACCTAGGTTTCGTACTATTTGGCACTGGTCATTAATGTGTACACGTAATCTTGAGGGGACTGATGCTTTCTAACGGATTCGGTCCCATGTCACCCAGCTTCATATTCAGAGACATTACCATATTGCAACTTGGTTGATAGGATTCGATTTGCACTAAGAAGAAACTGACATACATGACATTGATCATCAATCAATTGTAAATACATCTCAGTCATACAAGAGATCAGTCGCGGCCCTGATAGATCAGTGGTAACGTTTCCGACTGTGGAACTGGGTGATATGAGATTCAATCCGTCAGGGAGTATCAGTTCCCTCAAGATTACAAGTACACCTTGCTGACCGGTGCCAAATAGTACGAATTCTAGGTCAAAAACAGGATTTCTTGTTGACCACTTCCAACCACCATCTTATCTTAACATAGTACACGCAATTTTAAGTCACCTAGACTAGTGTCTACATTGCAACTTTTTCGATAAGATTCAATCTGCACTAAGAGGGATCTGACATACATGAAATTGATCACCACCCAGTGATCAATCAATTTTGTTAACAATGACAATAGTTATTATTCTAATAACTATTTTTCTTCTTATGCTTTATTTTATTGTCAACAAAAGTATTGAGAAAGTTATTTTAATTAATGTATAAAGTTTATTGTTTATAAATGTTTGCTACATAAAAGTGAAAACATAATGAAAGAAGCACAATCAACTATATAAATATATATGTCAATTGATATGTACAAAATATGACAGTCGTCTCAATTATCAACAACAAGAAATTTCTCTGGCAAGCTAAATAGAAAGAATCGGTTTTCAACCTAATTTTTTTCAAATAAATTACTAATAAATTAATGCCTTAATTGATACAGAAATCCACTGATCAGTTTATTGGTACAATTTAGAACTTTCTTAAATGTAGCCTGTAAATATCGTGATTTAAGTGCACGTCGATTTCATGAGAAAGATTTTTCATTATCGTTATTTTATAATCCAATATTATATTTGATTAAACAGGTGAACGTTTAAAACATGTTATGTTTAAAAACAAGTTCTTGATATCATGCATTCATTTCTGATCAGTTTTTGTGGTAAGGTGGACACACTGAGTAGATTACATCGAGATAGCCACTATGGCACAAGTCATTTAGAACAGACTAACTGATGCTGGCATGTTTCAGTTTATTTGGGACATTCCAAATGTATGTACCTGTATAGTAATGTTTACACCACAACGAAAAGTACTTCATGGATTTCGCTACTAGCTACAATCTGTCTGCTTTAATTATTAATCAGATTTTTTGAGGTTATGCTAACTTTTATAATAAATAACTTGAACGATCTGATGCAGTCATGGAAAATGATATCAGAACTAACGTAGTTTCAATTAATTTAGATTGACTAGTTACATATAGACATTAAGCAACTAATTATGTTCGACTATGTAACAATGACACTTTTTCAATACCATTTCATGTAAATAGATTACTATTTTAGATATGATCTTAGACGAAATGATTAATCCACTTTCTTCACTCGACTAGTAAGACTGATTAAAACGTTTTCCGACTAAATAACTCGTCGTTTATTGCAATATATTTGTTCTCCTTGATATTTATTGCATAAATTATTTAGGCGAGACTATAAGTCATGGACGAACCAATAAGGTATAAGACAACAGGTCTCCGATTTCGGAGAGAAATTCACCTATCTACTTGGATAAATAGAGTTTTGGCATTATATCTTATGTCAGTTCGTGATGAAAACGTTAGATATAATTCCAAACCTTAACCATCAACTATAAATCATAATTTTAATTCCTCACATTGGTTTATAACCGTCATTTTGTCCTAGTTATTAGGTGAACACTCTCATGGTCACCTTAGCATCGCTCAAAGGTCGTCCATAAATTATAGTCTCACCATTATTTTGTAAAATATTCTTAGATATAAATAACTTACATCTTCAACTACTGATGTACCAAATTGTAATATCTCTGCACATGTTTCAGTATTAGTTACACTGGTTTGACTTGTTAAAATTGGTAAATCTAAACTATGAGCAGCAATTAATCCATCATCACAACAATGTTTAAATTGATTCAAAGTATTTAAAGAAGTTGTTAATTTTGTTGATTTAGGTAAATTAGAACATAATGATAAAAAAGAATTTGATAATAAATTAAAAGTAATTAAAAATAATAATAAAATAAGATTTAAATTAAAATAAATACACATCTTATTATTAGTAATAGAATAGTTTCTGTTTTTATTGAAATATTGAATAATGCAATGATATAATCCCAAATTTTTCATATTTTCATACCATATACAATAGAAGGGAAAACTGATGAAGAGAAACTTGGAAATTCTGAAATAAACACGAAAAAAATAAAAATAAATAAAACATTACGATAATTAAGTATATATCGTTACTCAATGCAAACATTCTACAGAAACAGGTTACTTAATAATTCATTAATGTAAATTAGAAATAAGTTGGAACGACACACTTTTACAGCCTTACAATTATGGATGTACTTGTTTGAATTGAATATATACAGATTTAATAACTAAAACTAAAGCAAAGTCACTGAAAAATTAGTCATTTGTATGACTGAGATGATTGGAGTTTTCACTAGAAATAACAGAAGCCCATATGGTATACTAATAGTTCCTCAATGAAAGCTAAGAAATGGCAATTGTTTTGTGGTAGTTACAGGTAAGTTAACCTAGTAAGAAAGCCAACAACATGAAAGCATTTACAAGCTTAGTTATGTATATCTTTACAGTTTAGGAAGTTAGACAACCTAATTATTAGCTTTGCTGAACTGACAGTTTTCTTTTCTCAATAAATGTATACCCTAGTGATATTTTGTGTAGTAAATAGGTACTAGCTGAAGAACAGAGCTGATCAGTGTGTGGTCGCCGAACGACCTAAAGTTTATGGTTTGATTTTCGGTAAGACACTATATTAGCGCATTGTCCTAAAATCTCAAAACTTGTAACGCATTTGTACCATACTTTATGAGTTTTCTAATCTATGGCATTCATTGATGAAAGAAATATCTCTAATTTAGACCATTGTTTAACATTTACAATCGACAGAATTCATTTGTTTTCTCATTATTTACTAAGGTGTTTTATTTATGAACTACATCTTAATAAACGGTTAAATGTGATTGAAACAAAATTCATTTATTTTATGTTGTGAAAACTTGTTTCACAATCTAAACATTATTCCTTATTTCACACATTTTATTACAACGTAAACCGTACCATTACGTAATGAAGCATTTTGTAATCATCAATACATTTTAAAGTGTGACGTAAACTATTTGAAAATTCAAAAATACCGGTTGCTTGTTATGAATGAATTGCAGGACCAGACAAAAGTGCAATCGCAGCTTCGAAAAGTGTTTATTTATTGTTGAGAGAATTGTTTATTCTTGCCACTCAAATACAAAAGTAGGTATACTAATTTATGATACTATGTGAAGCAACCGGTATATCATACAAATATAATCTAAATGGGCTAATACCAAGAAACATACTTGTATGTATTTATTTGTCGACCTATATTTGAACATTTGAGACAATATGTATTCCAAAGCTGATTTTTACAGACATTGGAAACTTAGAACACATCTAAAATCCAGGCTTTCAATATATATAAAATAAACTTCTGAAATGAATGTCAATGGCATCAATGGAAACAATGGGATCGTTAATCAGGTCAAAATCAACCATGTATAGTGTTCCAACGTAGGTTTAGTCTAATGTTTACATGTAGTGGAATAAATATTTAATATAATTTAATTAAATCCGATTCAATTAACAAAAGGATTGTATTCGCAATATTTTCAGTAATAAATCAGATTGTAATACAGTTTTACCAAGTTAGATGAATAAAGTGAAACATGATTCTAAGTGATTCTAATTATCCATAAATATTCAGATTAATCAGTTAGGCATAAAGTTTTATTAGTGATTAGACGATCGAACATTCATCAGTCTAATAATAGTTTTTTTAATAAGGATCATGTTAATAAGTAGAAAAGAATATCTCGGGACAACTCAGTGACAAAGCTAAATGTATACGAAAAATGTTTTAATTGACTAGTTTTTAATTCACGTTTTAGAAATTATCTACAGATGATTTTAGGATAGACTAATACACTCCTACGCTGGCTTTTGATTAGATCCAGATGTTAAATGTTGTACGAAATGTAGAAATTATCTGATCTGATCCTATAAATTAGAAAACATTGAAAATTAAATATGAAATTAAATATGAAACTAAATTATGGAATCGATTTTGTCGGTAAAATTATGAGGATCTTTGTGTTATAGAATGGGAGGGTAGTTAGACGATTTCGAACAGTTTTTCTTTATAATGTATGTATAGACATTTCCCAATAATCTTTGCTTCTAGTTAGTATCATATCAACTTTAATAACTATGTAATCATTGGTATGGTTGGGTTTGTAGAAATTGTGAAATTTTCATAGTTTAAATCACGAGCTAATCTCAGTCAGACCAACAGTGAAAACATGGTGAGACGGGAAAACTGTTTCGTCACTGTATGAGACATCTCGTCAGTGAGCATTCACGACTTCGCATACATAAATCGAACTCAGGACCTTCTGTCTCGCAATTAAACATGTAAACCGTTGGATGTTGGCTCAGTGATTTACAGGTTAAGCGCTTGCACGTGATATAAAAGTTCCTAGGTTCAATTCCTGCATATTGGACCACAAATCCTCACTCACGAGGAGCTTCATAGTAAGATAAAATAACCATCCAGTCCCACCACGTCTCCAATATTGATCTAGTTAATGTGTATTTGTTACTTAAACCATGAAAATATATAATCCTTTAGTGACTGAGTTAACTAAATATTTATCTTATCAAGCAATGTCACTGATAAAACGCCTTAATTGACATACGATCGTAACATAATAGAAGTTGATTTTGAGTTACACTGAAATATAATAAACGGTAGCATTGATAAAAGCGAGTATTTACAGATCTATAAATTTATTACATAAATTTCTTGTTCTTTCTTCAGCACCTCAACAACGAATGACTTATTCATGAATAAAAAAAGTTAATTATACCTAAATAATAGTTATAAATCAAGCAACTAATTTTAAGCAATTGGAAAGCACAAAATAACTAATGAAAATATAAGTACATAGATGAAACTACTCCTGAGCAGCATAATATTTGAAAATATTAACACTATTTGTAATGTGAGTAGAAGAACGTTGTAAAAAATTGTTAGTTAAGAAGATATATGATTAACCACGCCAGATGACACAGCTATATACTATATGGTGAATGGGACTTAAGTCACTGTATGAGATTTTTGGTTATTTTCATTCACAAAAGACTGATCTCTATAACATATTTACTTACATGTAAATAGGATTGAAGGCATACAATAAAGAATAAAAATTGATCTTATACCAATCAATATGGCTTTTTAAACTTTATTAATTTACTCTGAAGAGGCGACCTAAATAAAATTAAGAAACGGGAGAAAATTTAATTTCTACTGGTTGAGATGTCACAAATATACCATTATTTTATTGTGAATATGGACTTTGTTGTCAGCTTATATACGGCCTTGATGTTAATGAAAGTGCGCACACTTATAATGCTTAACAAAATTTAAGGTGCTCTAAATATCTTCTGGAAGTCGACTGTAATGTTACTCCAAGTAGTTTATATATATATTAGTGAAATAATGAGTCGATCAATGTTAGACCATAATTGAAAACCAGGAAGCACTGGATGGCCGGTTCATCCTAGTAGTGCACACCTACGACCCTGTACACGGGACTCGAACTCAGAATCTTCACAAGCGTAGTCCATGATAAAACGTTCTGTCAACGGTTTAATAATATCCAGATAAACTGCGTTCGCAAACCAAAGACGTTTAGTTCAATCAAATATGATTATCAAAATTATACTAACCAGTAATATAAAAAAGTGTTAGTTGTCAGTCAATACTAAGATTATCTGAACATTATTCATAACATGAACCTATTCAGTCATAATTTAATTTAACATCAAAACGATTATTATACCGGTAACAATTGTGACCTAAACCATTTTGTAATGAAACATGCATTGAGACTAAAGTAAATATATGACTAGTTAATTCCATAAAACATTTGACACAAAGAGATAAATAAACAAATAGATAAGTAGTTGGTCAGTCATTTAGACACATTAAAAGATTTATTCGGTTGTTTTAGTGAAATATATTCTAAATTTTAAAATTTGGGGAGATAGGCTTTTTAAACATTATGTTAACAATAAATGTTTATGCTTTAATATGTTTTGATATATATATATATAATTTTGTGGATACTTTTGTAACGTTTCGGATACTTTTCACCACAAATTTATATTTTTTGAAGAACTGTTGAAAAACACAGAGGACTAAAGAATTTCTTTCCGTCTGCAAACTTTAGTGACCAAGCGCAAACTGACAGAATTTTAGAAAGATTTACGCCACTTAATTTCCAGTCAGTGTTCAGAAACATCATGATTACCATGATCGTGTGGATGCACTCCTGATGAATTCTGAGCTAAAACAAAACAGCTATTTGATTGTTTTCTTTTTTCAGTGATATTTTAAATGTATTCAGCTGATGGTTGTTAAACCAAAAAGTCTTCTACAAAAAAGAAATAGGAATAATTTTCATGCTACAAAAACACTTTATGATGCTAACAGTGTAATAACTTAACATACACAATAGTAGCTCACTTATAGCGTAGTGAATAATATACAGGCAGATGTAAATGTATCTATGTAAGCAGTACATTTATACACGCCTACACATCAACACTACAGCCTTAGTATTATAAAATAAATAATGTTACTAAAAAATTCATTAAAATGTCATTAATAAGTGTAGGTATATAATCTAGTGGATACATCTGTGGACGGTTATGTACTAAACAGAGAGAGAAATAGTAGATCATTGTAGGAATTCAGCCGAAAGCGAAAACGTTTACCTTATACATTGTAAATCACGAAATGTTTCTAATGACTAATTTTCACTTACTTGAATATATACTTATTCAGTCTGTTTTAAAGCTTAGTTCAAAAAGAAAGTGTTTTCCAACTAACTAGTGATAAAAATAATTTATCGATGTTACTATAGTAAGTTGTAGAAATATAATACTAAGTAGCTTAGGAAAATGTTTTCGAGTAAATATTAGTTTGTAAATCATTTATTTCAGTTGTTAAGCATTTGTTATGTTAAGGTAAATGTCTACATTCAAGAAAAAAAATCGAAGTTTCTTCTCGTTGGTTTTGAAATGTGAAGGTAATAAACTTTATTTTGTATTTAAGTAACGCTCAGTCACTAAATGCATATATTATTCCATTAAGAGACCTAAGGTTGTCAGTAAGTAACTATGCATTTGATTTTCATCATCGTTGATAGAATCTGAAATGATGAGCAAGAATTAATTCAACTTTTAAAAATATAATAAGAGCATCTAACCGTGTTAACTAATATCGATCAATTTACTTAAGGAGGTTGATGGAGAGTATAGATGGTAATGAAGAGTAAACAGATTATCATGGTTCAAGTATTTTTTTTCTGTTCTTTGGTCATATACTGAAAACAATCTCTCTAGCGGGATCGTGGATACGCACTGATCATGAGTCCCATACTAGGACGAAACAGCTGTCCAGTGCTTCCAGGTTTTCCATGGTGGTCGACTCATGAATTCAACTATTAAAAAAGACAATTAGTTTATTTGTTATAACTCATAATAAGATCAACAGATCCCAATTATTGTTGAAGGATGTATCTAGAAAACATTTTAAAGTAGATTTATTTGATATTTATCTATTTCCACGATTTCTTTACTTGTCTAAGTGTTATCAGGGATTTGTTGAGTATTTGTAAAGTGGAAAATTGTCATCAAGTAAATGATCCTACTTAAATGTTAACCATCAAATGGCCTGATCTAGTTATCATACTGTTTGTAAATAATTTAACTCTCAACTTATACTGAATCCTAGGATTTACCAGTCAAATAAAGTAAATATAAACAAATGGAGGGTAAGTGGAAACAAAGATAATAAAGAAAATAATGTAAAAACAATGTGAAGCGCACCACGCTGGATAATGAACTAATATTGCCAGGATAGTTTTAAGGTGAAAAAAAGACTGTTTTTGAATACGAGAGGGTTTTTGAATTTCTTTAAGACCAAAACCTTAATAAACCCTATTGACAAACACCACAAAATGACCTATTTCAATTATATGTTCGGCAGTAGAGGACGATGGATGTTTATCATCTACTCCTATTGGGTCATTTGATACTATTTGTTTTTGTAATCATTTAGGCCAATGTTCCACAGAAGTAGAGTCTTAACCAGTAAAACCGATTGGCTTTTCTAGAAATGGTTTCCGTTTTAAAAGGCTCACAAACCCACCACGTGGATGTGGTTTTATGGGTAATCGTTACACTAGGTTTTGACGCACGGACGTCACATCATTGGCAAGTATAGTCTACATACATATCGGTGGCACATGAGTTTTCACCCATGCATCACTTTTTGTGCACACTGGTATACTTAAACTGTGAGCAAATACACGTTACATGCACAACGACAACACACAAATTTCACTCACGCATCCTATAGCATACATATAGGTATTTTTACCCACTTGGGAGGATAGATGGTCACCGCTCCCTTAGAACATACTTTCTACAACTGGCTAT